TCGCCCAAGCTGCAGTATAAAATGCTGGTAGGCAAGAAGTGTGACAGATCAGTAGGTCCCATAGGGCATTTAGGGGAGTGAGTGTTTTAAATATATACAGCTAATGTTATTTGTTTTTCTCTCAGCGCTGGAATTTGAACCCATGGTCTCACATGTGCTAGACAAATACTCTACCACTGAGCTGCATGCTTAACCTTTTTAAAAAAAATATTTTTTTTGTCTTTTTTGAGACAGGGTCTCGCTATGCAATTCAGGCTGGCCTTGAGCTCACTTTGTATCTCAGGCTGGTCTTGAACTCGCAACGATCCTCCCACCTCAGCCTCCCAAGTGCTGGGATTATAGGGGTGAGCCACCATGCCTAAAATTTTATTTTGAAACAGGTCTCCATTGCTCAGATTGGGCTTGAATTTGCAGTCTTCCTACCTCGGCCTCCTGAACAGCAGGGAGACATCTGTCACCATCCTCAGTTTTAATTTAAAATTGTGCTTGTTTTCTCCGTAGTGAGTTCAAGAACAGTTTGAACTATATAGCAAGACACTCTCCCCCCAAAATTTTTGCCTTGTGTTAATTTAAAATTTTATTGAGGGTTTTTTTGGTTTTTGTTTTTATTTATTTATTTATTTATTTATTTTTTTTTTTTTTTGAGACAGAGTCGTACCATGTAGCATGGACTGGTCTTAAACTCATAGCAATCCTCCTGTCCCAGCCTCCCAAGTACTAATTACTGGCATGTGCCACCATGCCTGGCCAGTAGTGTTTTGTTTTGTTTTGTTTCATTCTATTTAATTAGCTTTGACTCAGACATTTGTGTCACCCAAATCACTTCAGATCCTTTTAGCACCCATGGAGTAGAGCATGAAACTTACTGTTCTCACAGGAGATTTTCCTGGGAGTATCAGCAACAGCTGAGGACAAAGGGCCACAAGGCCCCCTCTTCCATTCTGGTCTAGAGAGGTGTGATTCTGCCCAGCCTCCCCCACAGGCGCACAGTGCTCTGGGTCAGCAGGCTGAGGCATGTGTGCATTCCTCTGTTTCAGGCATCCTCCAAAGGTGAAGGTCAGCCTGGGAAACCAAGTAGAAACCAAGTAGAAAGTGCAGCAACAGTGTGCACTTCCTGTGCCCCTACAGCAGGGAGGAAAAATAGTTTGCTTTTGAGATGCCTCAGAAGTGAAAGCACGCTCCTTCCCTTTGCACAGTGAGGAACAAAACGAGACCCTGGCTCAACAGGCTTTTGTGACAGCAACAAGACAGACAGTTTAATACCTGGGTGTAGGCAGACAGAGGGTGGAAAGGCAGTATGGGGGAAAACACAAGCGGCCTTTTTTTAGGGATTGGAAAAAATAAAGGATATAAGTCAGGAAGGTCTTAGTAGACATCAGTGGTCAGAGTTCTCTGGCAGTCTTGCACCTCAGTGGGCAAAGTCACTAAGGCCTCTGGTATGAATTTGGGGTGTCTCCAAATGTCCTGAGACCTGCAAGATCCCATGTCCTATCTTATCTCTTACTCAGAGAACAATGTCTGCTGGCAAACAGGTCAAAAGCTCGGAAGCTCATGTCCTATTCCAGCCTTAGAGGCACAAGCCCCTTGGCTTTCACTGTCTCAGCTTTCTGTGTCTTCTGGAAATCCTGTGCTGTCTGTTTTACAAAGCCAGCATGCAGGGTGATTCTTATTTCTGAGCTGACACCAGTTGCTATAGGACATAAAGGTTGTTCATGCTGATGGTGAAGCAGGAGGCCTGTTCCTGTGGGAGGCTTTGAAGAGCCCTGTGTATTGACAGTGCTGAGAGGCCTCGCAGCTACTGTTGGGGAAGTGATGTGGGTGCATTTAGGCTGCCCCTGGGGCATCTCAGAGCCACCCCAGGTTGACTTCAGGGAGAATTTGTAGACAGAGTTTGGTTCCCAAAACTATTTGCATTGTTCATGTGCTCTTCCCAATCTTGAGGTCTTCACAGTTGCCAGGATAAACAAATTAACAGGTTCGATGGTACTGATGTTAAACTTCAGAGTGAGCCCATAACCTTTCACATTTAATTGGACCCCAATTATTCTGCTGGCCCTTGCACATTTGAGCCTGCACCCTGCCAGAAAGGAGCAGAAGGAAATTAGGAGAATACTTTTGCAATCTTAGGATAGAGGAAGAGGCCCTGCAAGTCACAAAGGAAAAGAACTACAGATTAAACAATGTAAAAATAACCTCAGTATGTGAAGAAAACCACCTGGAACAAAAAAGTAAAACGCAGGCTGATGGGGACATTAACCACCATTAAAGTAGCCATGTTGTATAAAAGAGATGAGAAACTGAAAAACAGGTTAAAGGATACCTGTGGCCTTTAAGTCCCATAAACATGTGAATTGCAGTCCTGGTGACAGTGATGTTCCTGTGAGTTATGAGGGTGATTGTACAGCCTCCTTCTGGACCTGATTACAAAGGCCTTTTGGCTACCGTCTGTCAGTTAAAATCTCACCTGTGGGATGTGGGGCTGTGGGGCTGTGGGCTTTGTGGAGCCCTGGCTGCTCCATGGTTGCCCACTGCAGTTCCAGGCCAGTTTGGTCATATACAGAAAGGCTCAAGGCCCAGTACTTGGATATAGCTGTGCTGGATTCTACTGTGTAAAATGGAAGGGTCATGGCACCTCCGTACCTGTGGTCACTTGGCTGTGTAACAAGGCTCAAAGAGCAGCTTCCTCCTATAGGGTGTTGGGAGGGGTCAGTGAGCCAGCACTCACAAGTGCTCAGGCATTGCCCAACATGGTTAGGGCCCAGCGTGTTAGTGGCCCTGTGACTGGAGGCTTAACCTTGTCATGCCCCCTTCATCACATCGCTAAAAAAAGAAATCCTCGGGGCTGGGGATTTAGCTCAGCGGCATAAGCGCCTGCCTTGCAAGCATGTGGTCATGAGTTCGATTCCTGGTATGTCGTGAGTGTCTTAGAGCACTCTGAACTCCGGGAAAGGTAAACACGCACACACGCCTTATCGGGACACGGGGGGTACAGTGCTCGGAAAGGAAGACAGGACACGGCACCTTTACTGTCTGCACCGCGTTACACTGCACTGCACGCACAATCTTTATTTTAGGATTCATATATAGTAAACCCGATCAGTTCACAGAGCCCAGATAATTAAGTAGTGAAAAGGCATTCTTTGTGGCAAGCTACAACGTGACAGACTACAATGTTTATTCTAAAGCTATCTAAGTGAAGTAAATAATCACAACCAGTTCTCATAACTTCTCTAGCCCAGGAAGAAATTCATTAGCTCAAGAATGTTGTTAATTTGTCTGCTGTTAGTGTCACAAAGGGTGGCCAGCCACTTCCTCAAGACTTCTGCAAAACAAAGCCAGCTCACAGTATGGATTCCAGAGGGTGAGGGGTCTTACTGAGAACAGGCATTCCTATTCTACCTCCTTTTCACATACCAGGGCGGCTATTGTAAATTGTAGGTTAGAGGGGGTTGGGCCTACAAAGTGACACCTCATCCCCCACACTGGTACCCGTAAAAATACAAAAAAAAAAAAAAGGAAATCCTCTCTACCTCTTGCTAGTGATTCTGGGTACCGTCGTGTGTGTGTGTGTGTGTGTGTGTGTGTGTGTGTGTGTGTGTGTGTGTGTGTGGTACTACTGGGAAATGGTGATTTCCAGGGAGATTTGGCACTTCAGCCCAATAAGGTAATGGGAACCTCTTTTCCAAAAGAAAAAAATATATATATAGGGTTTTTCTAACCCTAACCCTAATGCTAACCCATCCAGCCTTCATCTGGTTTCCCTGCTGTTGAGATCTTTCAGGTAGCCTCATAACTGGAATTACTTAGTTTGCCTTTTTACGTTCCTTGCTTTTTTATAAGTTTACACTCTCCTTTAGTCTGTTTGCTCTATAGAGCAGGAGTCCTGGAATGCATCCTGGATAGCTAATAACATAGCCCGACAAAATTGTACACTCATGGGAGCTGAGGTGACACATGCCCATAATCTCAGCACTGGGAGGACTGAGGCAGGAAGATCACTGTGAGTTCAAGGCCAGCTGGAGCAACATGGGGAAACCCTGTCTCAAAAAAACAGAAAACAAAACAAAAAATGTTTGGTAAACATAACGTAATTATGATCTTTGAGTAGTGTTTTTCATATCTGATTAGATGGTGCTCGAGAGTGCACTGTGGGTGACAGCAGACACTGTGCCTCAGAGGGCACACTGAGTGCAGGCTCCACCTGCACCACTGAGACAAGTCCCTCCGTTCAAACCCGTGCATACCAGGTGCTCCTTGTGTTTATGGGACCTGGCAAGTAAAACACAAGTGATTACCAGTAATGATAGTTCAGCCCACCTGAATTAAACAGGCATGTAAGTTTTCTTATTTACTTACTAAACTTGGACCTGCTGTATTTCATAAAATAGTTTAATAGCTGGATGTGGTGGCTCACACCTATAATTCCACTACTTGGGGGGCTGAGACAGAAGGACTGCTGTGAGGTCAAGGCCAGCCTAGACTGCACAGCAAGACCCTGTCTCAAAAAAACAAAAAATAATTTTATAAATTAAACTATTGTTTTAGCAGCTGTGGTATAGGAAATACACAAATATATCAAATAGTTTTTTGCTCATGATATTTGATAATGTTCTAATTACATGTGCAACATCACTAGTGGCTGGAAATGTTGCTGGGCATAGTGGTGCCTATGGGAGGTTGACACAGGAAGATTGCAGAGTTCAAGGCCATTCTGGCCTAGTGAGTTCAAGACCAGCAGGAACTAATTAGCAAATTTGGTGGTGGTGGGGTGATGCTCTAATACAAATAAGTCAAATGTTTAGCTATATTGGCTACAGTGTATCTTTATATGCACCCAAGACAGTCTGTCTTTGCTCAGTGCATCCCAGGCAAGCCAAAAGGTCAGAGCCCCATGGACTAGATAGCCCTACAGCAACACAGGGTACATAATAGGGAATGCACGAACTCCTGTGACGGAAGGCACAAGGACTTTCCAACCATTGGTTTTGTTTTCCCTGCAGGAGGTAAATGGGATCACTGCTGCACTGGCTGAAGAACTCTATGAAAAAGGTACAAATGGCCACTGGCCCTTGAGATGCCGGGCACAGCTTGTCTGGGCCTACCAGGCAGTCATAGTACTGAATCAATTGAAGTCCTGGCCAAGACCCACCTCCCTGAGTACTCAAACCCAAGTCTGCCCACCTGCATGCACTGCAGATGCGTAGTGGTCCTTCACCTTAGGGCTCTGAGTCCTGCGCTGGGAACTTAGCCTGCTATCAGGGTCTCTTCTGAGGCCCATGGCTGGTTGCTGGGAGAGCAGTGGTGTACTGCCCTCTTACATCTGGTTTGTCCTTACCTGAAAGGATTCAGAGGACAAATAACCAACCTGGGAGCACAGCCCTCCTAGAGAGCATAGGAAGTGTAGAGAATATATGAAGTACGAGCCTTACCATTGAGCCCTGTGTTTACCATCCTACTGCCTTCTGCCAGGAGCCATAGGTACTGGTGAGGACAGTAGTGGTCAGAAATCCAGTAACTGCTTGAGATTGCGTAGGTGAAAGGAGCAGAGGCCCCTATGCCAGTCAGTCCAGCTGAGAAGCCATCTTGCTCTCAGGTGCTACATTGTCCTGGCATCTAAGCCTGCACCTAACCTCAGCGTCTTCATTTGGAGGTTGTAACAGATCTGTTACCTAAATGCTGCCTCTCATTAGCCTTATCCGGGCTCCGTGCCTTCGCACTGACTCAGCCTCAGGGTGGACCCCTAGTGGCACAGTCCCTGTGGCCTTGTCCTCTGCTGTTACGTGTCCAGGGTTGTTCCGTGTTGGGTGTGAGCTCGGGAGGACAGCTGCTCTTGCATGCCTAGGTCATGGCCTCATTTCGATGCAGAGGGTGCGCCTGTTAATAGGTGCTTGCTCTGTGCTTATTGATTGGCTGGCTGGTGAGCTGGGGCCAGGGCCGAAAGCTCATCCCTCAGCATATGGCTATTGCAGGAGAGCAGCTCCTGGGGGCCGGTGAAGTCTTTGCCATTGGGCCCCTGCAGCTGTATGCAGTCACGGAGCAGCTGCAGCAGGGAAAGCCCACATGTGCCAGCGGGGACGCCAAGACTGACCTTGGGCACATCCTGGACTTCACCTGTCGTCTTAAATACCTGAAGGTAAAACTGTGCAGCTCAGTGGCATGGAGGTTGCAGGGTGGGGAGAGGGTGTGACAGAAGGTCCCTTTGTATTCTCAGCTGTGTTTCTGCCTGTGAGCACCAGGGGCATTTCACACACACACACACACACACACACACACACACACACACACACACGGGAATTGAAACCCAAGGCCTTTGTACTGAGTTGCATCCTCCCCCCACCCTCCACTTTTGAGGCAGGGTCTAACTAAATAACCAGGCAGTGTTCAAATTTGTAATCTTGCCTCAGCTTCCCAAAGTGCTGGAATTACAGGCATGTGACACCTGTCTGGTTTCATTACTTCAGACTTAAGCCTTGGCATGCTTTATTGAATGTAGAAGTGGTCAAAGCTTTAGAGGTGGCAGCTGCTGTTACCCCAGTCCAAAAGTGTGGATGGGGAGTGGTGGTAGCAGCAACCTTAATTTAAGCCATGTCTTTGGCTTTAGGTTTCTGGCACAGAAGGAGCTTTTGGAACCAGTAACATTCAAGAGCAGCTCCTGCCATTTGATCTGTCAATATTTAAGTCTCTTCATCAGGTAGAGGTAAGTCCCAGGGGAGCTGGATTGGTGGGCACCATTTTGCTCCCAGCTATCTGGCTAGGAAACAGTATTAATGTCAGTGTCCAGATGTAATTACAAGGCTCTGTTGCTTTTGTATGTGGCAATATGTGACAGATTCTGTCCGGGGAAGTCCTCTTCTGGCTTTGGCTGGCCCTTTCTCTATCCCTGGCATGGATGGCAGGGACAAGGGGTATAGCCCCAATTCCCACCTCATGGGTCTGTCAAGTCATGGGAAGAGTATTGTTTAAGTAGACATCCTAAGAAATCATCCTTAGGATTAAAGAGACCTAATTCCAAGTCTTTTATTTCCCCAGGCAAGAAACTTGGAAAGTTCCCTGCCCTCTGGGGTACCCATAAGAAATGGTTTATATTACTTGCTAATGAGCTCCTTGTTTCTCAAAACAATTTTGTCACCCATTTTAAAAGGAAAGTGAAAGTAGTAATAGTAAAAGTTGTTTTAAATGTGTTAATTGTGCAGTGTGGGTTGCTGGGAATTAAATCCTGGACCCTCACATTGCACAAGTCTCGTACCCCGGTTGGGCTCGAATTCATGATTCTGCTAACCAGCCTCCCAGAGTGTAGGGAAACAGATGTACTCCACCATGCTGGCTAAGCGTGTACTTCCTGAACTTGGATTTTGTGTTTAGCCCTGTGCTCTGTGTCCGATGTATACTCCTTGATCCAAACTTCCCTTGAAAATGGGCACTTTGATTCCTCGTTTATAACTGAGGAAACAGACTTAGGGAGACAAAAGAATTTGGCCAGAATAACACAGTTAAGGGGGGAAAGCCAGGATTTTAATTTGGCTGAGTTTGACTCCAGAGCCTCTGCTGCCCATTGACCACTTCTGACTGTAGCATCCTAGGCTCGCCTTGGAGACCTTAAGGGCCTCTCTGCTTGATGGAGATGGGGTATGTGCCTGGACCACTGGGAAATGAGAAAAAGGCCAGCCCACCCTCCTTAGCAGCGGGGTCTCTCTCTATCTGATCTGAAGAACTGGGCAGTGTGCTTGGCCTGAGTCCCTCCCCTTGTTGCTGCAGGACCATCAAGAGCAGAGGAGCCAGACTGGGTGAGCAGGAGGGCACCACACTCACTGTGCTGTAGGAGTCTCATGTCTCCTAGCACTGGTTTCTATGACTTACCATTTCTGCCTGCCTGCCAAGCCCGCGACGGCCCTTACAGAGAAAATGGAACTTATGGCTCATTGTTAATCTGGAATTTCTCTTCACAAACTATTTAGTCCTAAATAGCTTTGGGAAAAGGGAGGCTTATAGGTTACATTCTGTTGCTGAGGATTTAGACTTGCTCATAGTTGGACTGCTTTTGTCTTTATACCTATTCCCTGAGACTTCTGATGGGGCTACAGTGCCATTCCTGGGGCATAACTGTTCTTTGTTCCAGATAAGTCACTGTGATGCTAAGAACATCCGGGGACTGGTTGCTTCAAAGCCCACCTTAGCTACCCTGAGCATCCGCTTCTCAGCAACCTCAATGAAGGTAAGCTTTGCCTGTTTCCTGCCTGGGGCCCTCTCTGTGGAGCAGAGTCCTGACTGTGGTCCGCAGTACTGAAGACAGTTGTCTGTCAGTAGCCAGAAGTGCTGTCTTCCCCTAGGTTGCCACACACTCATATAGGGGACCACTTCCCCCAGACTTGAAAGCTTTAGGGGCACTTTAGTCCGCATCTTCATCAGAAGGCCATGGTCTGTACAAGCATACTGCTTATCGCTGTCTGGGACCCTGGCCTGAGCCCTGATCACCGGCCAGAGGTTACGGTGCAGGAATGAAACAGAGACAGAAATAATCATGCAAAATGGGGAACCAAGACAGACAAAGTCCAGTGAAGACAGAGCAAGAGGCTTGGTGCCATGTATATTTATTGGAATTTCAACATAAGTAGTGAGTTTCCGATGGGAAAAAAGGAGAACTGAAAGGCTAATCTGCTGACACAGGCAGGGCTCATGAACTGAGGAGCAAAGCATTCCAGCAGAGCTGTTATGACAGTAGCTTTTAAGTTAATCAGTAGCTGCTTAGCAATTACTAAGGCTCTTGGACTAGAAAAGTAATTTAGGCGAGAACTGCAGCACTTACCATGGTTTGAGGCACCAGGGCCGTTTGCTGACCTCCACTCTACCGGCAGTAGGATGGGTTTCACCCAAGACACCAGAGGGAGCCTCTCTCTCGCCCACTTAGCCATGGACTTCCTGTCTCATATTCATACATGCCAGTTATAAATCACCCCTCCTGTTCAGCCTCACGGTGTTCTCCCACATATACAACACATTTATAATAGCTAAATCTTGGAAATAACCTGTATGCCTTACCCATTTATTGTGGCATTTGTCTACAGTAGAGTACTACTGTACCGTAAAGAAGGGTAAGCTTAGGGTGTTTGTAGGTAAAAGAATATAGCTTGAGACTATGTTGTTAAGTGAAATAAATCAGACACACAAGCTTAAATATCACCTGGTTTCTCTTTTATGGGGAACCCCAAGCATAACTAATGAGGAAAACAAAAGATCATGAGAAGGAGGAATTGGCAAGTGGGAGGTCCTGAGTTTAAGTCCCTGTACCAAAAAAAAAAAAGTAGGGAAATCTTTTTCAAATGAAGAAAACAAAAGATAAAGGGAAGGGGGAGAGAAGGAAGAGTAAAGAGGTTTTTAAAAGAGATGAAGAAAAAGTGGAAGTAGAGCTTTTGCAAAGAAAAAGGGAACAAGGGTTGGAGGAAGTGGGGAAAGAAAGGGGGCCTCTTACGTACATGCACATATGTATCTTATGTACATGGGCAAACTCAGCACAACAAATTAACCATCATGGGGCTGGGGATTTAGCTCAGCCGCATAAGCGCCTGCCTTGCAAGCAGGCAGTCGTGAGTTCAATCCCTGGTACCGATAAAAATAAAAAAGACAAAAAAAAAAATTAACCATCATGTACTCCAAGCATGTACATTATTTCAGTGTCAGTGTAGTTAGCAAGCCATTTTAAGGAACTGGGGATTTTTTTCCTCCAGAAAGAAGGGGAATGGTCACTTTTTAATGAGTAAACTGTGGCTGGGATGGAACCTTCAGTTGCCTTACAAGCCCTGGCTGAGCACTTACAGTAGACGGTAAGGTTATGAAGGTGCTGGCCTATTTGTACAGGAGCAAGAGTAACGTTCCAGTTGGGAACATAGGATATTTCTTTTTCCTTTCTCTGTGTCTTTCTATGTGTCTTAGTAATACTAAAATTTTCCATGCATATATAAAAATCATCTAATGGCTAAGTTTATGACTTTGGGGATGTGATCAAGAATTGGATTTGGGAAAAACACTTTCTCGTGAGGCTGCCGTGTGAAAGGAGAACGCTGCAGAGAAAGCAGGCATGTTGGGCTGGCTTGTCTCTGTCTGAGGCACTCGTTGCTGCTGATAGGGGAGCCCTGAAGGGACACACTGCAGGAGGAGCAGTCTTGAGGGGCTGATGTCAGCCAGGGAGGCCCGACTTCTTCCTTATGGGATTCTCAGGGTGCCATGCTGCCCTACTTAGCACTGATTTTATCCCTGTGAAGTAATAATTTAAAAAGCCCGCTGTCTGCAGTAGGGGTCACTCTGAAAACACAGTTGCTTGGCCACGCTATGAATTCAGACCTCCAAGCTCTGAAAGAGCCAGAAAAGGCATCACCATGTAGCAGATGCCCTTAGGGGCTTGAAGGACATTTGTTTCTGAAATAGGGCCAGAGCATGTTGTAAGTGGCTGTTATGTTGCTAAGCCTTTTGGTTATTTCACAATTGTTTAAAGACACATACACAGAAACCCCATTTTAATGCAAGCTCACTTCCACATGCTAAATATGATCCAGCCTTTCCTTAAATTTTGCAGCGGTAGTGTTTCAGTTAGTGTTGCGTGAGGGCCCGAGCTGCTGCCTAACAGATGTTCTTAATACAGGAAGTCCTTGTTCCTGAAGCGTCAGAATTTGATGGATGGGAGCCCGAAGGCACAGCCCTCGAAGGCTCTGTGACTGCCATCATCCCCACATGGCAAGCATTGACCACCCTCGACCTAAGCCACAACAGCATCTCTGAGATCGACGAGTCTGTGGTATGCTCATGACAGCCAACCAGCTTCAGCCCTGGGTGTTTCATTTGGCTGTTTTTGGAAGAACCGCACAGAACCTATATCCAGTGCTCTGTATGTTGCCTGCAATTATAAAGCTAAATTTCAAAAGGAGAATATTTAAGATAGGCAAGGAAATACCTGGAACCAAGCGAAGCATGTTGACTGCAGGTGCATTGGCTCTGCAGCAAGTCCCTGATTCACGAACAGCCAAGTCATGAACTTCACAGGTGTATTGTGTAGGCTCACTTTGTCATCTTACACATGAGTCTGACTTAGCAACGTTTCTCTTGGAATGAATGGAACTTGTTCATAAATCAAGTGACACATTTACTCCCAAGGAGTAAAGCAGAAAATTCTTCTGAGGTCACAGATGTGACCATATTAGAGTGGCATCCAGATAGCCTTAGAAAAATGATGTGATTCTGTGTTTGTCAGATGGGACAGGCAGGGATGAAGTAGGGCAAACTCCCTCTCTGGAGTGTTGCCGTGTGTTGTTGTTATAAGCCAAGTATTCTGTAAAAACAGTAGGTGGTGCTCAGCCCTGGAGCCCTGTGTGTTCCTTCCGCTGGGTGGGAAACAGGAGGCGTCCCTTCAGTGGTCCTGCAGGGAAGTCAGGAAGGTATCCAGCTGTCACCTGCTGGGACAATGGAGGCTACATCCTCTAGAGTAACATTGGATGGTTTTTTCTTTCACAAGAAACTGATCCCAAAGATTGAATTCCTGGACCTGAGTCACAATGGAGTGCTGCTCATGGACAACCTGCAGGTAATGTCTGGGGACTAGGCATAGGCTCTGCCATGTCCTCATTCTCCCAGGTTAGCAGGCAGGTGCAGCATGTGGATCTGGCCTCACTCACAGGTTGATGAGGGGAGGGAGGCTGCACCTTCCCATCCAAGCTCCAGCAGTATGCTTACTGTTGCTCTCCTCCTGAAGACCCATAAGGACATACAAAACCTAGTGTGGTAAAGATGTGCAGACTCGTTCTCAGTGCTCACCCCTACCACTCTGCAGGGCCTGCTCCTGGGCTATGGTGCAGTAGGGGAGGGGCAGCTCCCATTCCCAGTAGCTGTCAGACCACCGGAGCTGGCAAAGCAGGTGGGCAGGAAGGCCCCAGCCCCATCTCTGGAGGCATGCCCTGAGCTGCTCCCCTGTTCTCAATGCCGCTGCAGCACCTGTACAACCTCGTGCACCTTGACCTGTCCTACAATAAGCTTTCCTCCTTGGAAGGCGTTCACACTAAACTGGGCAATATCAAGACCCTGAACCTGGCAGGCAACCTCCTGGAGAACCTGAGTGGCCTGCACAAGCTCTATTCCCTGGTCAACCTGGACCTCAGCAACAACAGAATCGAACAAGTAAGCACCCCTAAGAGGGATTCAGGGCTCTGGGGTTTCTGGGCCCTTTTCATTTAAAAAGGGCCATCCAGCATGTTGCCCGGTTGCTGAGATGCTAAGAGAAGGGGCCAAAGCGGGTAGCATTCATATCTTACAGATGGAGGAGGTCCGGAGCATAGGTGGCCTGCCATGTCTGGAGCACGTTTCCCTGCTAAACAACCCGCTAAGCATTATCCCAGACTACCGGACCAAGGTGCTCGCACAGTTTGGAGAGCGGGCCTCAGAGGTAGGTGCCAGCTCCACCCAGGCAGCCCAGCACACTGGTGGATGGAGTCACAGTCAGCATGGGCAGGAGATGGGGGTCCACCATCCTTGCCTCTTCACAAGGGCATCTCTAGGGATCTTGAATGTTGGAAGTTTACTACCCCCTTGGAAGAGGTTCTCAGTTCCTCCTGCCCCTCTCCTGTTGTGGATTGTCAGCGGCAGGAGTTCCCCAACAGGCTTTATGCCACTTGTGTCAGAGATTCAGACCAGGAGGAGCAGAGCCACAGGCTTGGTATGGGGAACTATCTTTAACTTTAAACTCAGGGCCTGCACACTAACTTACATCCTCAGATTTTGGGGTCGGGGGGATAGCCTTGCTAAGTTACCCAGACTGGCCTAGATTGTGAGATCCTCAGCCTCCCAGAGTGCTGGGGTTATAGAGATGTGCTGCCATACCTGGCTTGTCTTCAACTTTTGAAAAATAACGTTGGGACTGGGCATAAAGCTCAGCAGCACAGTGTCTACCTCACAAGCACAAGGTTATGAATTCAATCCCTGGTACCAAAAAAAATAACAGTAGCATTGTTTATTCTAGTCAAGGGGCAGAAATTCTTAAAATAGTCATGTTTCCCGGCCAGTGTCTGGCTATATATACTGTCTGATTACAAGCCCAGAGTGTTTGCCCACCTCTGCCACTGGAGCCCAGCACAGTGTCTGCTGCCTGCTGGCCGTAGCCATCTACCTGCCACTATGCAGGTCCTTCCCTGGGTTCACTCCATTGCATCAGCCTCAGGTAGGCCCTGCCCTGTTCTTCTGCTGATCCATGGTGCCTCTATTCTAGCCATATCCCACACCTGAAGATATATGAGGCTGCTTGCGTCCCAACTCTGCTCCTTTTTTCCCCAAGTGCCACTGTGTCTACACTGACATTACATCAGTCTTCCCAGGATGCCACCTCCTCCCCTTTCAGGTTCCAGGCTAGGAAGACTTCCCAACAAATGGTGTTGGTTCCTGTACAGGCCCTTGGGACTTTTATTCAATGATGCCACTCGTTCCCTGAGTGCCTGCCAACCGGCATCACCCCCTGCATTTCTGGACTGGGGTCCCTGCCTTTTCCATACGGTTTATGTGTCTCTGCTCTCCTGGTTCCACTGTCCAGAAAGGCCCTCTGCTTGCTCTTGGGCAATCTGAGCTCCACTTGTGTGTGGGAGCTTAGTGCCAATCCTCCCTTCCCTCATCGCAGCCTCCAGGAAGCTGCTGGAGAGATCCCAGGGGAAGATGGGGCAGTCGGGACTTCCTTAGCCTCTAGTGTCCTTACGGGGCCTGGCCCATGGCAGCTACTCGTGTTCCCTCAGCAGTGCCTCACCATCTTCCTCCTGCATGCTTGACAGTCCCCGTGCTGAGATAACACTGTCTGGCCACTGTATAGGTCTGTCTGGATAACACAGTGACCACAGAGAAGGAGCTAGACACTGTGGAAGTGCTGAAAGCAATCCAGAAAGCCAAGGATGTCAAGTCCAAACTGAGCCACCCAGAGAAGAAGGTGGGCATTCATGTGAGAGGTGGAAGGGAGGTTCTCGGAGAGACTGGGCTATGGAATTGCTTGGAGCCACTGAGTGCTGGCTGTACTTCACTGGTGCTCAGGTGTGAGATGGGGCAGTGATGGTGACAGAACTCACCCCTCAGGATTTCTGTGGGGCCATCTTGGCCATCACCTGTGTCAGGCAGCCATTGAGCTCCTTCCCCCTCAGCCCCGTCATTTCTGTTGTTCCTGCGCCTCCTGCTTTCCCCTGGGCTGACTCAAGTGCTGTTCCTCAGGTTGGTGATGATTCCCGGCTCTCGGCTGTTCCCTGCACCAGGCCCAGTGGCTCACCCCCGCTTTCGGCTCCCACCTCTGCCTCCCTGCCCCAGCCCATCTTTTCCAACCAAGGTAATCGAGTGTGGATCATGCTCCTAACAGCTGCACAGCCCTGCCTGGGCCCCCTGGCTGAACGGGGGCTGGAACTGGGGCTGGGGCTGGGGAGAGATGCTGTCACCTGCTTCCTACAGGGTCAGGCACAGGAGGGCGGGCCGTCTGCAGGCTGGCTCCTTGGGTGGCTTGTGGCGGGGGACACCGAGCCTGATTTCAGATTTGTTACTTGCTGAGTGAGGACCCCCATTGCTCTGGACACCCATAGCTAGTTCTGCTAAGATACCACAAGGTGTCTAACAGGCCCTGAGGCTGCGCTTTGAGTAAACTTGGAGCTGTTGGCTCATGAGGACCAGAGGTGGTCAGCTTCTCTAATGGGATACCAGGCCTCATTAGGTTAAGAGGCTGGAGCCCTAATCCCTGTACGAGGAGCTTTCTTTTATCATTGCCTCATCCATGGCTCTCATGGTATTGCCTCATCCCAAAGCACTGTATTTGTGGGACCAGGATGGGCTGTCTGGGTCCCTGTGGACCCCTGGAGGATCAATCCCTTTCACCTGCCCACTGTCTTAGAGTTTTCAAAGGGCTTTCACCTCTGAACCCAGGCATCCTCGGAGATGAGTGAGTGAAGCAGGTCCTATGAGCGAGTGAAGCAGGCCCTGAGAGAAGAGGGGCAGGTGTGCCATCCCCGAGTGGAGCTGAGGCTCAGGACGCGCAGGGAAGAACACCACCTATCCAGGCTCCTGAAGACACAGAACTTGGCGTGAGGTCTCGGGAAACCAGTTTGCCCCCCTGTTTCAAGAGCCAGAAAAGAATCCCATCCCTTGGTGATCCCACTGGTGGAGATCTCCTAGAGAGAGATAAGATAACTGGGCAGGGAAAGTGAAGTCCACCCTGCAGACGGCCCAGGCTGTGGCATGCACACTGAGGAGGGAAAGGAGAGGCGGCGTGGTCCAGCAGCCTCTTCGGCAGGCCCAGCAGGGAGAGAAGACTGGGTAGCAAGAAGGGAGTCACGCATTTATATTAGGGGAAGCCCGAAGCAGAGCAGTGCCCTGAGACCATGCCAGTGACATGCAGAGGAGAACACGGGAGCGCAGAACTGTGGGCCTTGGTGCCAGCGCGTTTGCTCGATGGCGCTTGTCAAAACCTTGACTGAGAGTTTTTGGTTGGTTTTTTTCAAGTTTTTTGTTTTTGTTTTTTAAACATGAAATGGGTGGGGGATTTGCATCCCTGTGAGGAAACCCCTGACCCTGCCACCTGCATCGAGTCCAGACTCCCCTGTGGGCCCCACAGCCCTGACCACAGCGCCGATGAAGCACGCACACTCAGGGAGGTTCCCAAGGGCAGCGAGGTAGGGGCTGGGGATTTAGCTCAGCGGCATAAGCACCTGCCTTGCAAGCACGCAGTCGTGAGTTTGATCCCTGGTACCGATAAAAAGGAAAAAAAACAAAAACAAAAAAAATCCTTGAACCAAGGGCAGCGAGGTATGCCTGGCCCCAAGGCCAAGGACCCAGCCTGATTCCATGGGCATTTGTTGAGTCAGAGAGATTGAGTGTGTGCCCGGCAAGTGGAGAAGTGGGCAGGCAGGAGGAATGAAGTGTCCCTCAGGGCGGCAGCTGCACCCGGGCCTGCTCGTCTGCCCCTTTCTGCCTGCTCACTTAGGACACTGGAGTGGCTCTGTAGTCTGCCTTCTCCTCCTGGTCACTGGACATTGAGACACTATTCCAGACTTGCACCTTTATAAATAAAACTACAGTGGATGTCTTTGTGTGCACATCTCTTTCCTTTGGGTAAGACATGACCAAAGTCAAATTCCCTTTCTGAGGACTTTTCTGATGTCCCTATTCCATGAGCTGAGTGGCCTTTTTGGACCACTTATTTGTGCAGGCCGCAGTCCAGGAAGGAAGTGGACAGACTGTCCCTGTCTGCATTTCCTCATGTCCAAATGGCTAGGCAGAATGGGGGTAGTGGCAAAAAAAGTTGCTTTTTTTTTTTTCTCTCATGAATATGGAAGAATCCACTTAAGTGTGTATCCGCCTGTGTGTGACTGGGGCTGGTCTGGATAAACAGGAGCTCTTCCTGTGGGAGAGCAGCTTTGCTAACTGCCACTGTTGCTCCAGCCTGATCTCTAGAGGAGAGCATTACTGTCTATTAACTGGACCCTCAGGGGCCTGCCTGAAGAGGGTGCTTTCCAGAAAACACCAGACCTCTGGTCATCACAGGAGCTGTTAACCAACTGTTGAAGCCCCGAAGGATTGTGACTACTAAGAACGAGTGTGCAAAATGCCAGTTGTGGTGTGTGCCTGTAATCCCAGCCCTCGGGAGGCTGAGGCAGGAGGATCGCTGCACGTTTGAGGCCAGCCTGGACTACAAAATGAGTTCAAGGCCAGTCTGAACCCCGTAGTGAAACCTGTCTCAAAAGAAAAAGTGCCCGTTGGTTCTCCAACCAGGTGTGGGGCTGAGAGACAACTGTAGAGAGGAGGTTAAGAGCACGCACTTGAGCTCAGGTTCCCTTTACCTGGCTGTGTGATTTCAAGCAACTTGTAGCTCACTGAAGCTGTTTTCTCAACCATAAAGAGGATACATCTTCGTGGATTCTAAGAGGCACGTTTCCTCCCATGACTGCTCTGAATGTGAGATGCGTCTTTCAGTCAGTGGCATCCCCTAGTTGCTGTCAGCCAGCTGGTATTCGTGATGGAGTCGAGGGAAACCTTCCTTCCGTGGACACCTGCTATGATCAAGATGGCACTTCATCCAAGCGTCTTAGATTTGATAAAATGTGGTAAATAACAAGAGGCACGCATGAGCTAATGCTGGGGAGGCGCTTAGCATTGCTCTTGGCTCAACCACAGTGGTCAATGAGGGCTCCCCTTTTCCATATTCATGGGGGACTCAGACAGTGCCCATGAGGGAATGGGGAGCTGCCTGGGAGATGAGCTGCATCCCTGAGGGAAGCAGGGAGGCACAGTTGGAAGTACTCACCAAAGGTCTGAAATAGTGGTTTGAGCGGAAGTGGTGTCTGAGGTGAACCTTGAAGAGTGGGTGACATCTATAGGAGAAGACAAATTCCTGGGGAAAGGGCAATATAGGGAGAGCCCAGAGGAGGCCCCAGGATGCTTCGTGCATGGCTGTATGCTTGCTGTCATTCCTGCCTTGCAGAGCCCTGCTGCTTCGCTTCGTGAGGGTACTGGGCTTGGGCCACCTGCCTGCCTGACTTTTGGGCAGAGGATTTGAGTCATGTGAGCTGTCCTGTCCTGGGCAGCAACCAGACCTGACAAGGATCTCCTGCCCTGTGCAAATCAGGGTTCCGAGTCACTGCACTGGGCTGTGAGGACTGGTGGCAGCTAGGCTGGGGAAGTAGCCTCCAGCCCCGCTGGACCAGCTTCCTACGGTTAGGAACACGTTAAGCCTTCCCCTCAGCCATTCTGCCCACTCTGGAGTGAAGTAATGGGTCCAGACAAGCCATATTTGTCAAACAGCTTCAATAGAGTATGTGAGTCAGTGCCACTGTCATAGAAGGCGGCCCTGGGGCAGTCAGTGGGGTTCCTGCAGGAACAGGAAGTTGTACTCCCCAGTCCTGGAGGACCTTGAAGCCTTCCAGTGAGGTACATCCTGCTGTATGGATCTGTGAACCCTGCAGAGATGTCAGATCTGGGAATAGGGTCATGTCTGGTCATTTCCTGGGACATTGCTCCAGAAGTGGACACACATAAGGCTCTTGATGGACATCACACCCAGCTGCTCCCAGGAGGTGAGCTGGCTCACACCTGGTGTCCAGTTAAGGTATGGCTAGGCTGCATGGGCAGTTTGAGCTTTGCCAAAGTGAGAGGCAAACCGGTCTCCTGTTTCAACTTACCTTTCTTTGTGCACTAGAGAAGATAAGCATCTTTTCTTGCCACTCTTCTGTGGAATGCCTCTTCGTGTACTTTACAGTCTTTCAATAGAGAGTCTGACACCTCACACTCATTTTTTTAAATCTCTAAGAGTTCTTTTAAAAGATAGACACTTGGTTAAATATTGCCAGCACATTTTTCTGTTTGATTTTGCCTTATCTTTGTTTTTAAAATCCATGTACTTGGGGCTGAGGATCATGAGTTTGATCCCCGGTACCGATAAAAAGAAAAAAGAAAAGAAAAAAAAAATCCATGTACTCAAGTTTGATTTTTTTCATAGTCACAATTAGTGTTTCTTCTTTGGTATGTATTCTCAGAAAGCCTCTCTCTGTGCCCTGAGATTAAAGAAGCAGTCATTGGTTCATTCTTGAGTTGTTGGGGATTTCAGCTTGGCCAGTTTCCTCTCTTACCATGTGTTGGCTTTGGGGTCTGACTGGCCCCTGGCCAGGCTAGTAGCCTGAGGCCAGCCCCTTGTTGAAGGGCTGCTCTCCCCGCCCGCCTGCCCCCTCCCACTTCATCTCTGCAGGAGTCATGTTCGTGCAGGAGGAGGCTCTGGCCAGCAGCCTCTCATCTACGGACAGTCTGGTTCCCGAAGACCGGCCCATTGCCCAGGGCTACTCTGATTCCCTGGAGTCCATCCCTGCGGGACAGGTAATGCCTCTGTCTGCTTCTGGGCTTAGTGTACTCTGCTTGGCCACTGTCTTTTGGAGGTGTCTGGTTGAGTTCTTGACAAAGCAAGCAGTTAAGGGTCTGTATTCACGTACTTCTCTCCGTGTATGTTTGTGTCTCTTCCCCTCTGCCTCTTCCCTGCCTCCTCTGTATCTGTTTGTCACATGGGAACAGGCACTGCTCTCTCATTGGGCCCTGGAGGCAGGGGAAGGGCAAGCACCTTGATGCTGCGAGAGGAAACTGCCTTGGGGAAGCCAGATCCAAAGGAGAGCTTCCCTCCCGCATGGCATGTAGGAGCCACTCTGCCCCTTCTCTCATGTCACCCAATATGACCTTGGGACTCCCTCTATAGTGACTTCTCAGTCTTCTGGAGCATATCCCTGTGCCCTGGAAAAGGGGGTGGGGGGAGTGAGAGTGGCTGCTGGTGTCCCTGCAGGCCAGTACCTGCACATTCCTGCAAGACACTGGGGTGGTTTGCAGAGTTTTTGTCTATTCCCAGCTGTCCCTCCCCGGGGTCACACAGCAAGAAATTCCTAGGCCAGGGATTTGCCAGGGCTACACCTCCACTCTTTCCAGGAGGCCAGACCAAATCGGTGATCCAGAGAGCCCTGGATTCCAGCCCTCACTGAGAGTGGTGTCAGGCTTTGGCCTTGGGTTGGGGGTGTGGACTCAGGTCAGATGGATTGGGGTGGGAATCAGTCGCAGCCCTGCTGTCTATTGGCAGGTAACTGGAAGCACGAGCCCCAGGCCCTAAGTGGAGTGTGGGAGCAGTGAGGGTCCTCCACAGACAGCCCAGTGCCTAGCGCAGGCCCACACCCGGTTAATGCATGGGAGTGGCCACAGCAGGTCAGGCTGATTGCATTTTCTTTTCTATCAGGCAGCTTCCAGTGATTTGAGGGACGTACCAGGAGCCATTGGTGGTGCAAGGTAAGGAGGAAGTTGAGTACACTTTCTAAGCCTGGTGGCTACACTGTATTCAAGCTCTCGGCTGCAGGTGAGGGGTAATAAGTTGGTGGGAGTCCTGCAGAACTATCTCTCTCTTTAATGACAGGTGAGATGGACTCTTGTCTATTTCCGTAAACTGCCTTATTCATGTTATCTTACACAAGGGGTTGCAAGATCAAGAGTGGTTTGGTCAGCAGTCTCTTATAGTCTACGAACTAAGGATGATAGTTACTTTGGTTGGTTGGTTGGTTTGTTGGGTTTTTGCAGTATTGGGAATTGAACCCAAGGCCTTCACACTGAACTGCATCCTCAGTCCTTTTATTTTTTATCTTGAGAAGGGTTTTGCTTAGTGACTAAATTATCCAGCTGGGCTCAAAATTGCAGTCCTCCTGCCTCAGCCTCACAGAATGCAGTGTACAGGTATATACACTGTGCCCAAAATGATTGTTCTTTGTTTTATTTTTTTTAGACACGGTGTTACTGTACAGTTCAGGCTGGCCCTGATCTTTGTAGCCCAGGCTGGCCTCAAACTCACAGCAATCCTCTTGCCTTGGCCTCCCAAGGGTTGGTATTATAGGCATGCACCACCATACCTGGCCTCATTTCTTAAGAAGATTCTTGGATTAAGGGTCCCTGGAGTCATGAAATACTAACTGGCCTTTTACAGCAGTTTTCCATTTCTTGTTATACATGCAAGGGCTGTAGTGGCCAGAAGGAGGTGGTATTTAAACTTGAAGGCCCTAAGACATCACCCAGCCCACTTCTCTGTCCCTAGAGGCCACTGGAGCCCCTAGAAGAGAGCTCTTATAATATAATAAGTGGGTTCTTATTATATTAAGAGCTCTTGGAGTGCTCACTGTCTCTAGAGCCCATCGTAGCATCCACACAGGGAGCAGTCTTTGGGGTGCTCCAGAGGAGCCAGTGTGGTCTGGCAGGGCTGTGCTGATTGGCTGCAGTCTGCCCATGAAATCTTGCTTTCTTGACTAAAGCAGGCCATCCCAACCCTGTGGCTGTCAGCACCATGCCCTCCTTCTGAGAACAGGCTCAACTGTGTAAGAGGATTAGGGGACCCATCAGTTGGTCTCTTGGGACCAGGGTGCAGCAGTAGGCTCAGGGACAGGTGGGCAGCGGAGCGTTGCTGACGCAGCTTCTCCCTGCACAGCCCAGAGCACATGGAGCCGGAGGTGCAGGTGGTGCCTGGGTCCGGCCAGATCATCTTCCTACCCTTCACCTGCATAGGCTACACGGCCACCAACCAGGACTTCATCCAGCGCCTGAGCACACTGATCCGCCAGGCCATCGAGCGGCAGCTGCCTGCCTGGATCGAGGCAGCAAACCAGCAAGAGGAGGGGCAGGGTGAGCAGGGTGAGGAGGACGACGACGAGGACGAGGAGGATGTTGCTGAGAACCGCTACTTTGAAATGGGGCCTCCAGACACAGAGGAAGAGGAGGGCGGCCAGGGGGAGGAGGATGAGGATGAGGACGAGGAGGCCGAGGAGGAGCGCCTGGCCCTAGAGTGGGCGCTGGGTACAGATGAGGACTTCTTGCTGGAGCACATCCGCATCCTCAAAGTGCTGTGGTGCTTCCTGATTCATGTGCAGGGCAGCATCCGCCAGTTTGCCGCCTGCCTCGTGCTCACAGACTTTGGTATTGCCGTCTTTGAGATCCCACACCAGGAGTCACGCGGCAGCAGCCAGCACATTCTCTCGTCGCTGCGCTTTGTCTTCTGCTTCCCCCATGGCGACCTCACTGAGTTTGGGTTCCTCATGCCAGAGCTGTGTCTGGTGCTCAAAGTGCGGCATAGTGAAAACACACTCTTCATCATCTCTGATGCCACCAACCTGCACGAGTTCCATTCTGACCTGCGCTCCTGCTTCGCCCCCCAGCACATGGCCATGCTGTGCAGCCCCATCCTCTATGGCAGCCACACCAGTCTGCAGGAGTTCCTGTGCCAGCTGCTGACCTTCTATAAGGTGGCTGGTGGCTGCCAGGAGCGCAGCCAGGGCTGCTTCCCAGTCTACCTGGTCTACAGTGACAAACGAATGGTGCAGACGGCCGCTGGGGACTACTCGGGCAACATTGAGTGGGCCAGCTGCACACTCTGCTCAGCCGTGCGGCGCTCCTGCTGTGCACCCTCCGAAGCCGTCAAGTCTGCTGCCATCCCCTACTGGCTGCTGCTTACACCCCAGCACCTCAATGTCATCAAGGCTGATTTCAACCCCATGCCCAACCGAGGTACCCACAACTGCCGCAACCGCAACAGCTTCAAACTCAGCCGTGTGCCGCTCTCCACTGTCCTGCTGGACCCCACACGCAGCTGCACACAGCCCAGGGGCGCCTTTGCTGATGGCCATGTGCTCGAGCTGCTTGTTGGTTACCGCTTTGTCACTGCCATCTTCGTGTTGCCGCATGAGAAGTTCCACTTCCTGCGCATATACAACCAGCTGCGAGCCTCACTGCAGGACTTGAAGACTGTGGTCATTGCCAAGAGCTCCACAAATGGGGCCAGACCCCAGAGCCCTCCAGTGGATGGCCAGCCTGCTGAAGGCAAGGCCAGGTGAGACCAAGTACAGGTTCCTGGGCCTGGGGAGAGCCGGGGTGTGTGTGTGTGTGTGTGTGTGTGTGTGTGTGTGTGTGTGTGTGTGCGCACGCGTGCGCGTGTACCTCCACTCTGGCTTCACTCCAGCTCTTGAGTGCCCCTGGAATCGCCCTTACTCCTATAGACTTGGTACTCAGCTGCCGCTTAGCTTCCAGTACTTCAGAAGAGCCTCGAGAAGGCTGTTCTTTCACGAGAACAGGTAGACCCAGGCTTCTTCCACCCACACAGTACTGGGCAGCATGTGACTTTGGAGGTTCCTCCCCAAAGAAACTTAGGTGCTAAAAGGAGCAGATCATGGCTGGGCGTGGTGGCTCACGCCTGTAATCCCAGCACTCTGGAGGCTGAGGCAGGAGGATCCTTGCAAGTTCGAGACCAGCCTGGGCTACAAAGTGAGCTCAAGACCAGCCTGAACTGCATAGCAAGACCCTGTCTCAAAAAAGACAAAAAAAAAAAAAAAGGCAGATCAGCGTGAATTGGGTGGGTCCTCTAGTCCAAAGCCCCATTCTTCTGGAAAGATGCGGGTATTGACAGGGAAGGAGTTGGCAGCCCAGTCCTCCTGCTCCCTCCTTGTCCCCCATTTCCTGCTCCTATTCCACAGAGCCTGGCTATTCCTGGACTCCGTCCTGGGTTTCCCTCTGGAAACCTGGGGGTGAGGGTAAAAGAGGGCCCATGTTAGGACCCAGACAGCTTGAGCCCACCTGGATCATAAGAAGGACCTTGTGCCCAAGTAGGTAGCCCTGCATCCTGTTGCTGAGTTTCCTCGGCCACTCCCACTTGAGTAAAAAGCCTTTTATTTGTCTACCTCCCTGTCCCCTGAGACACAGTCTAGCTTATGTTCTCCCATCCTGGTAGACAGCATCCCCTTAGCGTCTCATGGGCTGTGCCACCCCTCTCTGAGCCCATCTTGGTCTGATGCTCTTCAAGAGCTCTCTACCTGTTCCCAGCTGAATTTGGTGACCCCAGTGATTGACTCATTTCCCCACCCCTGGGGAGGCTTCAGCAGTGGGCACCTTGTCTTCACTTCCCCGTCACCCCAGTCTGGCTGGCTCCTGCCTACACAGAACACATGCAGAGCCCTATAGCAGATGCCTGGGTATCTAGCCAAATGCAGGATACAGCCCCAGGGATCTCAGCAGCCAAACTAGGGCCAGTTGAGAAGATGACACCTAAGGAGCTCCCTCTGCAGCAGCTGGCTTCAGAGAGGACCCTCTCAGCTTCCTTGGTATACAGGTTCTGACCATTATTTAGTCTAGTGTCTGGAACCAAGCAGTTCATGTGTAATGGTGGCAGTGTCTAATAGCTTGGGCCACCTGAGGACCCCCCCAGAGGCAAACAGCAGTTTTGAGAGTTTGGTTCTTAACTCTGCCAGCACCCATGCACATTACTCTAGTCGGCACTCAAGACCCTGGAATTTTTCTGCCACTTTGTCAAAAGTTCCCGATCTATGGGCCACAGTGTCTATTACATGCATTTGGCTGGCCCAGTAAGACCCATTCTGTCCCTGTGTGCCCATCTCCTCCCCAAGAGGAAAGGCTTTTCTCTGCTGTTTGTCCTAAAGAAGCTGGTGACCAAGTCTCCGGTAACCCATGGAGTGGTATGTGATGCACACCATGATCCTCACCTTCCGAGGTGCACAGTGTGTACGTGGTATGATTCTGCAGGCCCACACATTAATGTGATGTTTCTTGGGGGATTGGGAGATACAGGGATGACCAGCGTCCCCAGGAAGGCCCTGCAAAGGCTACAGCCCTAGCCCCAGCCCCAGCTCCAGCTTCAACCTCAGCAGAGGCCCAGGCACCACCTCCAGCCCCAGCAGAGGCTTCAGCTCCAGCTCTGGTCCCCGAGGAGGCTCCAGTAGAGACCCCACCTCCAGCCCAGTACCCAAGCGAGCAGCTGATCCAGTCCACCTCAGAGGAGAACCAGATCCCCTTGCACCTGCCTGTCTGCCCATCTCTTCAGCACATTGCCAGCCTGCAGGGCAAGGCTGTCATCGAGCTCTTCCACAGCAGCATTGCCGAGGTAGCAGTCCACACCTGGTCACACCTGGATAGGAAGGTGTCTGTCCCGGGTGAGGCAGGACTTCCCTTGAGTTTCTGTGACATGATTTGAGGATGTGGGTTGGAGGTCCTGAGCTGCCCTCTCTGTTACTCCCTTTAGCTGAGAGGAGCTTCCCACCTTGCTCCATCTGAGGCCTTGGGCATGTGCAGGTCACCCGGGCAGTGTGGGTGGTGGTGCCTAACCTGCCCCGCTCTCGTTCAGGCCCACACCCCACCCCTCTTTGTCCAGGTTGAAAATGAGGAGCTGAGGCACCTCCTGTGGTCATCAGTAGTGTTCTACCAGACCCCAGGGCTGGAGGTGACCGCCTGTGTGCTGCTGTCTACCAAGGCTGTGTACTTCGTGCTGCACGATGGCCTCCGCCGCTACTTCTCAGAGCCACTGCAGGGTAGGACCAGGCTCGCTGTCATGCAGGGGCTCGTGGCATGCATGCAGAGGGGCTGCTCTGGCCTGGGAGTCTGTCTAAGGAAAAGGGGATGACAGCAGCGCTTGCAGCACTTCCTTCCTGGAGCTGTCGTGAGGACTGAAGGCGCACACTGTGCTGGGACCCAGCGAATACTGGGACCTGGCTATGAGAGGGACTGGGCAGCCTCTGCCCCTCGGGGCCTCTGTAGGAGCCTTATTCACTTCTCGGCTCTTCAGAGCCAAGAGAGGCTCAGACCTCAGACCGAGCTGCATTTGAAGCCTTGCATGTGTGCAGGTGGTGGCAGCTCCTCACCAGGTGACCCAATCCTGTCGGACATGCTGCACATCTGGGACCCTTGTGCTCGCCTGCCATAGCCACTGTCACCCTCAGTCCCTTTCTCTCCATGGCAGATTTCTGGCATCAGAAAAACACTGACTACAACAACAGTCCCTTCCACATCTCCCAGTGCTTTGTGCTTAAACTCAGTGACCTGCAGTCAGTCAATGTTGGCCTTTTTGACCAGCACTTCCGGCTGACGGGTGAGTGACCCCCCTGTGCCTTGTGTGATCTTGGATGAAGGCCAGTGGGCTTCCACTTCCATGTGTGGATACATTTATCATAGACAGAGTTATCTCCCTGTTTCCAGGCCAGTCAGCTGAGTGGGAGGAAGCAGCTTCAGGAACTGCTGAGATTGCAGGACTTGCGCCCCAGGGCTCTAGACAGGAGGTGGGGTATGCAGCCAGCACCAGAACTGAGGTCTAGTAGGCACTGGGCTGGGGCAGGATGTTTCTGACTCACACTTCCTGAAGAGAGATAGCTGAGCTCTTTCCCTAATGCCTGTGGATCCCCTTCCAGAAAAATGTCTCATCCCTTCCTGTCTGAGGAATGACAGCCTCTCCAGACCCCATGATGCTCTCCCACATGGGTTCTCCCATGGCTGGCTTTCGGGGGCGGATACCTGCCAGAGAGGTGGTGGTCTGTGGCTGTGACACACCCCTTCTTGCGCAGGCTCCTCCCCAGCACAGGTGGTCACATGTCTGACTCGGGACAGCTACCTGACGCACTGCTTTCTGCAGCATCTCATGCTCGTGCTTTCCTCCCTGGAGCGCACACCCTCACCTGAGCCTGTAGACAAAGACTTCTACTCGGAGTTTGGGAACAAGACCACAGGTACTCTGTCCAGTTCAGACCTCAGACCAGAATCTCTCTGCCCTAGATCCCTCTCTGCCTCTGCTTTTTTCTCTTGCCTCACTTAGCTGACCAGGATGTGGTGTGGGCCTTTCTGTTTTCATCCTAACCATCCTTCAGCCATCCAGGCATATAGTGTCAGCCCTTGGCTGCTGGCTTGGGGCCCTCACAGGATCGACAGCGTGGAGTGCCCGCCATTGCTGGCTTACGGCTGCTGGCACTCCTGGCCCCACCACAGGCCAGTCCGAGGCTGCAGCCCTGGTAGCATCTTTCTCTGCAGGGAAGATGGAGAACTATGAGCTGATCCACTCGAGTCGTGTCAAGTTCACTTACCCCAGCGAGGAGGAGGTTGGGGACCTAACATACATTGTGGCCCAGAAGACAGCTGATCCAGACAAGGCCCCAACCCCCAGCATTCTCCTGTACGTGCAGGCCTTCCTGGTGGGCCCACTGCCACCAGGGCGCTGCCGGAGCCCCCTGCGCCCCAAGACACTCCTGCTCACCAGCACGGAGCTCTTTCTTTTGGATGAGGACTATATCCACTACCCTCTGCCTGAGTTTGCCAAAGAGCCACCACAGAGGGACAGGTACCGGCTAGATGATGGCCGCCGTGTCCGAGATTTGGACCGCATCCTCATGGGCTACCAGCCCTACCCACAGGCTCTCACCCTTGTCTTTGATGATATGCAGGGCCATGACCTCATGGGTTGTGTCACCCTGGACCATTTCGGAGAGGTGCCGTGTGGTTCCGCCAGAGCAGGCCAGGGCCATGAGATCCAGTGGCAGGTGTTTGTCCCCAGCGCTGAGAGCCGAGAGAAGCTCATCTCACTGTTGGCCCGCCAGTGGGAGGCCCTGTGTGGCCGGGAGCTGCCCGTGGAGCTTACTGGCTAGCTCTTCTGCCAAGTCTAGCCCAGTGCCTACAAAGAACAGGGAAGCAGGCTCTCTTTGTTCTCTTAGAAGTATTTTCTCTGCTCCCTTTTGGTATCTTAATTTGACAGTCCCTGTGAGAATGTGAACATGTGTGTTCAGTTAATTCTGTCCAGGGCTGGAAATGAGAATGCCGTTACCCCCCCCCAGGCCTGTGACTCAGCCTTCCATGTGCTGCCCACCCCAGAGTGACACAACAGGCACATCAGCATTGTGTCACTGTGTGCCATTGTTAACGTGTGCAGCTGTGGATCTGACCAACTCCCCTGTCCTTTGTCACTGTTGCTATCATTGTGGGCATTTTGCTGCTAATCATGAAGCTGGTAGCAGAGAGTATGTTGGAAGCTCCCGCCCCATGCAGCCATGGTGGACACCTGTAATCCTAGCATTTGGGAAGCTAAGGCAAGAGGATCACCCAGCGTTTGAGGCCAGCCTCAGCAACATAGTGAGTTCAAGGCTGGCCTAGATTACATAGTGAGTCTCTGTTTTAAAAAAAAAAAGAAAAGAAAAGAAAAAAAGTGAAGGCCTCCTGTGGTCCAAACAAGAGGAAGATCCTGATAGGCCAGTCCAGCAGCCTTGGGGCTGCCGTGGGTTGTGGGGTTCCTAGAGCTACTGGCACCAAGAGTGATTCCTGTTGTCTATTTTCTCTATTCCAATAAAGCAGTTTGACATGGTCTGGGTCTTCCAAGCCAAGGTTCCAGAAGGACCTCAGCCAGGATGTGTTCAGCACAGGGCGGGGGATGGTACGCTGTGGACACGAGGGCAAGGAGTCGGGTGGGAGGGGCAGAGAGCATCCCTCCTTGAGCCTGAGGGTGGGGACTTCTCTGGATGGGCTATGTGGACCTGTGGCCTGGGACAAACCGAGAGAGTGCATTGAACCCCTCGGGGTACCCCCAACACACCAGCCCTCTGACCCTCTGCCAGCTCCTCAGCTCGTCCTGCACCTGGGCCCAAAACCCCTGAAGCCATAGCCCATTGTGAGGAGCATCGTGGGTCTGGGATCACTTTTGGGAGGTGTCTCACTGAGAAGGTTCTGGCCCTTGAATGGCACTGAGGGAGGCAGGTCCCTTGCCTGTGCCTCACTTCCTGTCCCAGACTGGTTGAGTTCAGAGCACTCTCTAGAAGCAGGGCAGGGTCCCCACTCACCTCGCCTGCTTGCTCAGCAGCTTCAGCCCCTGGGGTTGAGCTACAGAAGAGCTGAGCTACTTTGGACAAGCTGCCTGGCCCCTCTGAGCCTTGATTTCCTACCCTCACCCTCCCAAAGGTGGCCAATAAAAGTAACCAACTCCCTTTACCTAGTCATTTCGCACATCTGTACCAAGGCAGTGCCACCCGAACTCCCACAGCTGGCATTCCAGGATTGAGGAGACAAATTCAGCGCTGCACAGTAGCCTGTCCTGTGCAGCTATATGAAGTGGGCGGATTGAAAGCTTGAGAACAGGGGCTGGGGATTTAGCTCAGCGGCATAAGCGCCTGCCTTGCAAGCAGGCGGTCGTGAGTTCGATCCCTGGTACCAATAAAAACGAAAAAGACAAAAAAAAAAAAAAAAAGAAAGCTTGAGAACAGCCTGGGCAATTTAGCAAAACCCTCTCTCAATATATATATATACTATACATTAATCTGTCATAAAGATAAACTGGAAACTGGGCATGGTGGTGCATACTTGTGACCCCAGGACTCTGCAGGCTGTGGCAAGAGGATTGTCACACATTCAAGGCCAGCCAAAACTATAGCTTTCTCAACCAAACAAATGAAAGAAGTTATCTGTCGGAACACAAATGCACCTGGAAACCATGTTTCGATGAATCAAACACAAGCTCAAATATGTTTTCTCTTATATGAGAAACCCAAATTTTCAATAGCCAAATGAAAGATAATAGGAAGTAGGAAGATAGAACTTTCTCAAAAGAAAGGGGATCAAGGTGAAGAGAAAGGATGGAAAGGAAATAAGGGGGGGCTGGGGATTTAGCTCAGCAGCATAAGTGCCTGCCTTGCAAACAGGCAGTCGTGAGTTCCATCCCTCATACCGATAAAAACGAAAAAGACAAAAGGAAGAAAGGAAATAAGGGAATCAATATGTAAACATTTTTTAAATATATATATATATATATATATATATATATATATTTGAGGGGTGTGTACTGGAGATCAAACCCAGGGCCTTCACATCCCCAGGCTTTTTTTAAATTTTGAGAGAGGTTCTTGCCCATGCTGACCTTCAACTTGGGAACTTTATGCCTCAGCCTCCCAAGTGCTGGGGTTACAGGGCAGGGATGCAGCTCAGCGGTAGAGCGCCCTAGGTTCAGCCTTTGGTGTCTGGGGGGTGGGATAAATGAGCCAGCCCCAGCTTATGGCCAGTGCTGATGAAGGTGGAGCCAGGTGACCCTCCCTGCAGCCTGGGAGCTGAACCAGTTTCTTTCATTAAAAAAAAAAAAAAACCTGGGCTGGGGGTGTGGCTCGGTAATGGCACCATTTAAAAAAAAATCCTTCTTGAGTTTAGCCAAGTTTATTTTAATGAAGAAAATGATTATCAAATTGGCCCACCCTCAGAACCAAAGAGGTTCTGAGAGCTCCAGGCAATGAGTTAGGCAGCACCACAATGAGGGGCAGATAAGGTATGAGCTGGTTAACAGCCCACAGGTGCCTGCTGCTCCAGGCTGGGATTGAACTCCTTATTGATCTGACCTGTGGGGCAGGCGTGGAACTTGATGCAAACCCACGCGGCTGCCTGTGCCTTCCTGTAACACCCACCCTGAAGCTGCATCTGCACAGAGGAGGCTGTGTAGGACTGGGGTGACAGCTGGGACCGCAGGAACTACAGTTAGAAAAGCCTAGGCAGCTGGAGCAGAGTGGGGGGCATCGGAGAGGCTTGCTGCTGGGTGCTGTCTTGGAGGGCAGCTACAGGGGCAGCTGCTGAGTGCAGGAGGAATGGCGGTGTGGCTGTCATGGAGGGCGCAGGCCAACCGGTGGAGCACTGAGGGTCAAAAGATTGCCTAGCCAACAGTCTGTAGGCACACACACGCTTAGCTAGAAGGCTGAGGAAAGAGCAGATGCCAGTCTGAAGGCTGCCCAACCACCACCGAAACCCCAAAATCTCTGAGTGAGAAATGTGGGCTCTGAAGATGGGGCAGGTTGTAAAATCTGAGTGAAAAATGTGGGCTCTGCAGGTGGGGCAGGTTGTTACATTTGCATCTGAATTCACTTCAGAATCTCTGATGGAGCCAAGCAGGTGACTGACAGTGGGCTTGGGCTTCCAGGTGGGAATTCTTCTGGAGGGTCTTGGGCCAGGAAGCCCTGAGCAAGGTCCCTGACCATCCATGCAGGGGTCAGTGGCCAGCGCCTTCCCTTCCGCCTGCAGACTGCTGATATGCAGGAGGAAATCCTGGCAGGTTCCTGTCGGGGTGGGTCGGAGGGGGCAGCTTTTAAAGGCAACTGCCCGCCCTGTCCTGCTTGCCTGTGCTGTGCCTGCATCTCAAGAGTTCACTGCCGAGCGACTGCTATAGCCACTTCTGACTTCTGTCCTGGACAGTGAGCTCACCAGCCACAGCCAGCCATGGCAGAGCCCTGGGGCCGCCTCCTGCTCTGCTTCCTGGTCTTCTGGCTGTCAGGCTCCAGCTTTACCAGGGGACAGAAGGTGAGTGTGAGCCCAGAGGGTGGGAGTGGGGAGAGGGAGCATGGGTGTGGGGAGATAAGGAGCCACCAGTGCCTGCCTGAGGTGTGCAGACCCAGATAACTGGGCTGGTGTGCCCACTTGCAGGAGTTAAGCACTGTCAATAGGGCGCAGGTACGAAAGTGTCAGCCTGCCTGCCGTCCGGTAACCAGGCCTGGCCCAGCCAGCCATACGGTATGAGCGGCTGTCCTGGGCTTCCCAGCCTGTGAGAGGAGGGACACAGAACCAGGCCTGTCTGCCTGTCCAGACTCATGTGGACCCTGGGTTTGTCTGCCTGGAGATGGAAGAGCTGCTGGGGACAGCCCAAGATAATGATTTCCAGCTGCCAAGCTGCTGCTTACCAAGCCACAGGCCAAGCCGTCTGTATCCTCACAGCCTCTGGGCAGCCTGTCTTGTTCTTCCAGTGAGGCAGCCAAGGCCCAAGGGTGAGAGAGGCCAGCTATTCCCTCGCTGGAGCCTGCTCCAGACCTTTCCCTTCGAGTCCCCACAAGGGCATGCTGGTGGCAGATGAAGCCACATGTGCAGCTTCCCTTGGTAGGGACATGGCTTTTGTTCAAGCTTTGGGTAGACCCTTGCACCCCGAGTGAATATGGAGACACAATCCCCCAGCTGAGACCTGCTACCGAGCAAGGGAACGTGCCCTGTGAGGCCAAGATCGCGTTTGCGTGATATAACACAGCTTGGTTCTTCTTTTGCCCCTTCCCCTCCACCTCCATTTAAAAAATGGTTTTTCTTTTTCTTTTTTTGTGTCAGATTTATGTCTTTATCAAGTTAATTGTCATTAAAAACAGATTAATATCCAAACTAATAGGCAAAAATATATAAAACAAGACAATTCTGCTAAATCAAAGTCCACTTTAGATACAGTGGCTGTGGTGAATTACAATAACATTTTCTCCTCTTTTTTCTATTGTCTTTTCTATTATTTTTTATTTGTATATTGTATTTTTCATATAAGAAAAGCCATGTAATATTTAAGCTTATGTGTCTGATTCCCTTCACTTAGCATTATGGTCTCTAGACACATTCATTTGCCTTCATACCTTTTATGGCAAAGTAGTCCATTCTGTGTAAATAGCATGCCTGCCTTAGCCATTCATCTGCAATGGACACAGAAGCAAGATTTAGCTTAGAATTGTTCTGCCGTAAACATGGGCCTGCATGTATCCCTGTAACATGCCTTTATAACCCAGAAGGGGAAGAGCCGGGCTGACTGGACTCCCTAGTGTTAGTTTTGAGGGACCCCGTACTGACTGCCGCGCTGGTTGTACCTGTGCACACTCCAGCGACAGCACAGGACTCCTGCTGCACCACACGCTAGCAATGGAGACCGAGTCGGTTCAGCTCCTTGCCTAGCCACAGACTGGTAGCTTGGGCACCACTTGGTCCATTCTGGGACTGGAAAAGAAGGTCTGGGGACCCTGTGGATCCGTGGGATGCAGCCATGCCACCTTCAGTCACTCAACCCTCCTGGTAGCCTGAGTAGCATGAGAACCCTGAGGATGGCTAGGACCAGTGCCTTGCAGCTTCGCCGGGAACAGCCCTGGCCTTTCCTGCTCTGACCCAAGGAAAGGAAGGCAGCTTGGGATCCCTTCCTCTTGGAAGGGGGTTGGGTGCTGGGCTGTCAGCCCCAGAAAGTCTCTAGAAGCCTGGTCCCAGCTTGAGGAAATTTCTTCTCCCTTCTCCCCCACACAGGCTTCCTATTTTATTGTCTCTTCAGCGTCCCCAGCAGGATCTCTGTGAGAGCAGACAGCCCAGTGGGCTCTGAAATGCGGATGGGAGGTGGGGGCAGGGGTACGCTCCGTGGCTCTGGCTTGGGAGGGCCCTGAGGTGCCCAGGAAGAAGGGAATCTGATTCAGCACTCTGGTTGTGCTCCAGCCTCTGTCTACCTGGCAACACCAACAGCAGCACTTGGACTCCAGCCACTGCTGCTGCTTCCAGGTGACTGGGTGGACAGAGGCCTGGGTGCCAGCTTTGGGTGTGGTCCCCAGAGAGTTGGCAGCAGGCTTATCCATCCATCACCACTTCACACACACAGACAAAGCTCCTGCTTCCTCCCAGCCCCTGGCCCAATTCATCACCCGGCCCTTGCTGGCCCTAAGAAGAATCAGCGCACTCCTCTCCACCCTGAGCCAGGCCTGACAAGCATTCCCTCCAGTGCTGGTCCCCAGCCATTACAACCCAGGTCTCTCAGGTGGCTTTGCGGGGAGCCCACCAAGGCTTTACCCTGAACCAGAAACTACTTGGCCCTGGAGCTACTCAATTTTCTAGTAGCTCCCTGGCTCACCAAAGATGAGCCTTAGGGTGAGTTTGAGACCACAATAATCCAGCCCCTCAGCAGGCCACTGCGCGGCTCCCAGCAACTTCCCTTTTGTAGACCGCAGAGGCATGTGCAGAAAAGGCCAAATCACAGCAGTGGAGAGGTCCTGGGACAAGCATGCTCATGGAAGAAAGCACTGTTTCTCCTTTTCTTCAGCTTTGAGAGCCGCACATCTGTAATTTGTTCCAAGACGGAAATTCTGGGCTCACTTCTTTTGGACTACAGTGTGTTCAGCATTTTTCAAGAGGGAAACAGCTTGGCTCCTTCAAGCCATGCTCCAAACACACTTATCAAACACGCCTTCCTTCTGCCCCTTTTGCTCACAGCCAGGAGTTTAGGTTCTCCCCTCCAGGGTAAGTTCTGCTCTGTAGCTTTCTGACATTTTGTCCCCATAAAGGGAGCCCTAAAAGCAGTGTTTTAAAAGCAGTGGCAAAGCCGGGCGTGGTGGCTCACGCCTGTAATCCCAGCACTCGGGAGGCTGAGGCAGGAGGATCCTTGTGAGTTTGAGACCAACCTGGACTACAAAGTGAGCTCAAGGCCAGCCTGAACTGCATAGTGCGACCCCCATCTCAAAAAAGACAAAAAAAAAAAAAAAAAAAAAGCGGCTAAAAAGATAAGGGGCACACAGGGCTAGGCAAGACCTTTCCACATCTCCCACCCCCAAACTCATTCTATGGCCCACCTCAGCCTAGGCACCTTCAGGTGGTGAGGTGCCCTCCTCCCCTGCCCCATCTCACCCTGCTTCCTTGGCTGATGGTTTAAAGCATAAACCAAGTTCTGGGCCTGCCCCTAACCTGGTCTCACTCAGGTGGGGGTTTTGGGGTTTTGTTTGTTTGTCTTTTTGAGACAGGGTCTGCCTATGCAGTTCAGGCTGGCCTTGAACTCACTCTGCAGCCCAAGGTGGCCTCAACTTTGTAGCAATCTTTCTGCCTTAGCCTTCGAGTGCTGGATTACAGGCATGCACCACCATACCAGGGACCACTCACCCGGGTTTATGAAGCTGCTGGTAGCCTGGCCACCAGCCCTACTCTGACCTCTGCTCAGACCACTCTGCCTGTCACATGTGGGCACAAGCTCCTTCCCGCTTCCAGCCTTTGCCTTTGTGCCTGTGACTGACTACTGTGCAACCTTGAGATCCTAAGTCAATCGTCACCTGCTCTGGGAAGCCCCCTATTCTGTCCTCCCAAGTCCCTTGGCAGCTTGTGTTGCCACCGTCATGTGGATGGGTCCCTGCCTATGTCAGGGCTTGGTGACCATGCTGCAGGCCCAAACAGACATGGATCAGATCCCTTGCATACTGCTGCCCATCTCTTAGATCCACAGCTCTTAGTCTCTGGACTAAGTGGAGAGAGCCCATGGGTCCATGCAGTAGAGCAGGGGAGCAGAGCCCATTCAGCACCCACCGTGACAGCCAAAAGCTTGGGTCCTCCTCCCTAGTACAGTAGCCATGACTTAAGAGTGAGGTCACTAGGGGCTGGGGATTTAGTTCAGCGGCATAAGCACCTGCCTTGCAAGCAGGCAGTTGTGAGTTCGATCCCCGGTATCGGATAAATAGAAAAAGAAAGAAAAAAAAGAGGTAAGAGTGAGGTCACTGAGCCAGGGATTTAGCTCAGCAGCGAAGCAAGCACAAAGGTCCTGAGTTTGACCCTCAGTATCAAGGAAAAATATCCTGGGGCTACTATATTCCAAGCGGGGTCAGCTGTGATATATTTCTTTTTAAATGAAAGACAAAGAGGAACATTAGGCTGGGAATCCAAATTCCAATCCCTGATTCCCACTCCATCCCTGAGTGACTTTGTGCAAAGGCCACCAGCCTGTGCTTTGGTTTCATTACCTGGAGTGGGTTGAGAGACAACATGGAGCAAGTTCTCCTGAGGTCACAAGGTACAGACTCAGGCTTCTGGGCTGCAGACAGGAGGCCATGCCGTGGCATCTGCAGCTCCTGACAGTGTTTCTCAGGGGCCTCCCCATCTTTGCATCCCCACTGAGCAGATGGGAGACTGAGGCCTGGAACGGTGCAAGGCCTGTCTTGGGCAGAGGCAAGACCGAATACCGGCCCAGGCCCCTTACTCGCACCCCGCCTGTGGTCCAGGTGCGGTCCAAGCACTGCGATGTGAAGACCAAGTTCATCACGCACACACCCTGTACCTCGTGCGCTGTTAAGAAGTGGATGTGTCCCTCGGGCTGGCTGCTTCAGCGTTTCCCAGACAGGGCATCCCAGAACTGCCGGTATAGATCCCACCCCATCCTGCTTGCTTCCAGAAATATTCTGTAGGGTGGCAAGTACAGGACCTCAGAATGGGGGAAAGGGCTCACCCATGGGTTTCTGTGCCCTGCAGGGAGGTAGAGGGGCAGACAGTGTTACCTGGGCAATGATTGTGTGCTAGGCCCTGTGCTCAGCTCTGGGCCACGGAGAACGAAGAGGTAGTGTAAGAAACAGGAACCCAGTGGGGGAGGTAGAGCGGGCTGCAGGTGCGAGCCCTCCCCTTTCTGTTCCCTCTGTCCCCAGCTATGAGGTGCAGCTAGGGGACTCGCTGATGTCCATGAATGGCTGCAGCATGGAGTGCTGGAAGGATGTGGTACAGAAGGCCTGCTGTCCTGGCTACTGGGGCTCCCAGTGCTATGGTATGAGAGCCCCACACCAGCTCCCTAGGCTTGGCTCTGGGCCCCCACCTGGGGAGCTGCCTATGTTCTTCCAGTTTGTTCATTTCAAGGCCACCTTCTGAAAGCCTTCCTGGCTCAGCCTCCCAGCCCTAGGTGCCCTGGAGGGGGAGGGGCAGGGGAAGTGAAGAGTTCAAGGGCCAGAGCTAAGTTCTTGGCATCCACAGAGTGCCCCGGGGGTGCTGAGACCCCATGCAATGGTCACGGGACCTGCCTGGATGGCATGGCTGGGAACGGGACCTGTGTGTGCCAGGTAAGGCCTGGACAGGGTTGTGGCAGGGGCACTAGGAGAGCTGACACTGACTGGGTATGTCCCCCAGGAAAACTTCAGGGGCTCAGCCTGCCAGGAATGCCAGGACCCCCGCCGGTTTGGGACCGACTGCCAATCTGGTAAGGCCAGCTGGGTCCTCCCTGCCCCTCTCCTCCCCAGCACTCAGCCCTGCAGTTCCCCTTCAGGGAAGTGTGCCTTGCTTCCTCACCCCGTGCGCCAGGTCCTTGCCACTCTCAGAGGCTCCTTCAGGAGCACTCCCTCAGCCCCAGGCTGGGCCATGCTCCTCCCAGGACCTCTCCATGTCATCCTGCATCAGGCTCTGGACTCCTGGGTTATACCTGTAATGCAGAGGGCAGGAAGCCCATGGCTGAGGTCTCACCCACCCTGCGTGTCCCTTCCAGAGTGCAGCTGTGTGCACGGGGTGTGCAGCAGTGGGCCTCAGGGGAACGGAAGCTGTCTGTGCTTTGCTGGGTACACGGGCCCCCGCTGCAACCAAGGTGAGTGTGCTGCTGCGGCAGCCTGGGACAGCGGGTTCTCTGGCCAGGGCAAGGGAGGGTGACTGCTTAAGGACAGGCCTGAGTTTCTGCAGGAGTTATACCTGTAGCCTCTCAGGGGATGGGGCTGTCATCTGGGACTGCCACCGTCTGGAGACTCAGAATCCCACAGCATTGGCAGAAGACCTTTAACCAGGGGTCTCGGGCCCTCACACTTCTCCTTTCTGCCTCCTCAGAGCTGCCTGCCTGCCAGAACCTGAACTGCCCCCCAAACTCCCAGTGCTCCCCAGAGGCTCCTGCCTGCAGGTGCCTGCCTGGCTACACCTTGAAGGACAGCAGATGCGTAGGTGAGCCTGTGACCTGAGGGCTGAGCCTGGGAAGGCACTCTTTTACCTCAGGGGATACAGCGGGGTAGGGGTCCAGCCTTCAGGGCCTGGCTCACCACACACACCCCAGCTTCAGGTCACATGATGGAGCTGTGAAGGAGACCGGGCTGCCGGTGCTCTACTTACGCAGGCTCTCTTTGTGCTGGCAGCTCCTAACCCCTGCCACCCATCACCTTGTTCCTCGATCGCCCATTGCTCTGTGAGTCCTGAGGGACATGCTCAGTGTCGCTGCCCCGAGAACTACCATGGTGACGGCAAAGTGTGTCTGCCCTACGACCCATGCACTGCCAACTTTGGTGGCTGCCCCCGCAACTCTACTGTGTGTGTATACCAGAAGCCAGGCAAGGTGAGCCAAGGGCTCGGTGGGACTTGCCCCCAGTCTGCCTGCTGGCTCTGGCTGTGGGACCCTGGGCAAGTCACAGGCCTCTGGGAACCACAGCCAGTCCGTTGGATGGCGAGAGATGGGGCACGGGTGACACTCCCATTCCTGGAGGCGCATGCCAATAGTTCTCCCAGGTTCTCATAGATGGATGCCTCTTTCCCTCCTGCCCTACAACTTGGCCAGGCCACTTGCTCGTGTCAACCAGGCCTGGTCAGCGCTAACCACAATGCCTCTGCGGGCTGCTTTGCCTACTGCTTCCCCCACTCCTGTGACAAGTCAGCCACTTGCCAAGTGACCCCCGAAGGGAGGACCAGGTGGGCACAGGAGTGGAGCAGAGAGGGTGGGGTGGGCAGCACATACACGCAGGTCCAGGGGCCTCGCAGGCCAGGAGAAGCCCCTGTCCTTACCCTGACCTATCCTCCTCGGGCTCCCAGGTGTCAGTGCAAGGCGGGCGAGGTGGGGGATGGGCGCGCCTGCTATGGACACCTGCTCCATGAGGTCCAGAAGGCCAACGAGATGGGCACGCTGTTCCAACGGCTAAAGGTCACTGTCACCATGCTAGGTGAGTGTCCCCTGGGCCTGCCATTGACTCGTGCAGGAGAAGGTGGGCCACAGTCTGCAGAGATCCTGTTTTCTCTAGCTGAGAGCTCGGAAGCAAAGAATGAACTGTCGCAGGGTATACATGAAAGTGGGAGCTGGAACCCAGCCCCGAGGCCCCCACTTCCCCTGTAGCTAGATGCAAAGCCCCCCACCAACCCCTAACCTGGGATGGGTGCCTGAGGTCTTCCCAGACCCACTCCCTTCCCCCAGGCTCTCCCCAAATCTATTCTGATGCTCTCTCCCTGGCCTTCCAGAGCAGGGCTGCCAGGAGATTGTCACCACATCGGGCCCATTCACAGTGCTGGTGCCATCTACCATCTCCTCCATCTCCTCCCGAAACATGAACGTGAGGCCCCCTACTTTGCCTGGGTGCGGGCCCGTCTTCAGGTCCTGAGAGAGGATCTCTCTGACCCTGGGGACGAGCTGGGAGGTGTGGGCCCTCCTGTGCTGGGTGGCGATCTGAGGTGTGGCTCACAGGACCGTCCGCTCCTGTGGCACACAGGTGACACTGGCCCAGCAGCTCTGCCGACAGCACATCATCGCGGGACAGCACATCCTGGAGGATGGGGGGCTGCCAAGCACACAGAGGTGGTGGACGCTGGCTGGCCAGGAAATAACCGTCACCTTCAGCCGCACGGTAAGGCAGGGACTGCAGCCTGGGGGCCATAGGAGCTACAGGCAGAGGGTGCAGCCCAGGCAAAAACATGGAGGTGGGAAGAAAACTTGGAGCAGGGAGTTGGCACGTGAGGTCTACAGAGACGGGGTCTTGCATCTTCTCAGAGGTACACCTACCAGTACAAGGACCAGCCCCAGCAGACATTCATTATCCTCAAGGCCAACAACATCGCTGCCAATGGTGTCTTCCATGTGGTCACTGCTCTGCGGTGGCAGCCTCCGCCTGCACTCCCTGGGGACCTCAAGGTGTTGCCTGGGCTCCCTGGGGACCCTAAGGTGAGCCAGCACACTTCTCTCCCCACTGTGTGCTGCTAGCTGACCTCTGAGACCTGCAGAGCTCAAGGAGAAGGTGGCAATTATTCCTGGCAGGCAGGCAGGAGGGAGCCAAGTTGCTTTTCCCTCAATCTGGAGCAGACTCACCCTGTCTCTGAAGGTCTCACATGTGTCCCTTTCAACAGCACACCATTGCCCAGATCCTTTCCTCTAATGAGGCCTTCAGCCGGTTTGAGACCATTCTGGAGGTGAGCTGGGGGTGGGATCTAGCTGGCCTGGCCAGGAGTGCTCATTGCCCTAGATGGCCTCGCGGTGTTCTGGGGTTCTGGAATAGCCTGCTCAGCCTGATCCTGTGGTCTCTGTCTCACTTGGTGGGAGTTCTCTGTGGGCTGAAGGTGGCAGAGGCTGACCACGGGTCCCCTAGCTTTCCTCTCCCTGCTGCAGAACTGTGGCCTACCCTCCATCCTGGATGGGCCTGGGCCTTTCACAGTCTTTGTGCCAAGCAATGAGGCTGTGGACAGCTTGCGTGACGGCCGTCTGATCTACCTTTTCACGGAGGTGAGCTTGGTGGGGAGCAGGGCCTACGGGTGTGGGGGCACCAGGACTTCTACCATTCCCAGTGGGGCCTCCAGGAACCAAAACCTTTCCCCTGCCAGGGTCTCTCCAAACTGCAGGAACTGGTGAGGTACCACATCTTCAGCCGTGGCCAGGTGAGAGGTGCTGTGATGGGAGGCCCCACAGCCATGCACTGGGGGTGCTGCTGTGGGTCCGGCCTGCCCAGGGCCCCCACTATAGCATAGAGGAAATCCTGGGACCTAGGGGGTGACTGGATCATCTGGGAAACTTGTGGCCAGTGCCTAGTCTTTGTTTTTTTTTTTTTTTTTTTTTTTTTTCTTGTCCTTTTGAGACAAGGTCTCACTATGCAGTTCAGGCCAGCCTTGAGTTCACTTTGTAGCCCAGAGTAGTCTTGAACTTGCAACGATCCTCCTGCCTCAGCCTCCCAAGTGCTGGGTTTATAGGCATGCACCACTATACCAGGCAATAAAGAAGTCAGTTCATTTCTTTCTTTCTTTTGGTGCCAGGAATTGAACTCATGACCTCACGCTTGCCAAGGAGGGACTTGTGCTGCTGAGCTAAACCCCGGCTCAGTGCTCAGACTTAAGGCACCCTTTCTTCATCCTAGATGACTGTTGACAAGCTCATTGCCAAGAGGCGGATTCTCACTATGGCAAACCAGGTCCTGGCTGTGAATATCTCCAATGAGGTGAGGTGAGACCCAGAGTATCCAAATAAAGGGCCCAGCAGTGGCGCTGGAGATGACCAGACAGTCACCCAGCCTCTTTCTGACCTGTCTGCTGCAGGACCTGTGGGGATCAGGACACTGTGCTGTCCCCAAGTAAAGCAGCCATCAGTCAAATTTCTCTCTTGGGGCCCAGTGGGTGGGAGGGCTCCGAGGAGAAGGGCTGAGCCCAGCCCGTGCAGGGATGCTAACCCCCACCACAGCGAGACCAGGCTGGCACACAAGGTCTGTGATGCAGGGGCGCATCCTGCTGGGACCTGAAGGCATCCCTCTGCGGCGTGTGGACATGCTGGCTGCCAACGGTGTCATTCACATGCTGGAGGGTGTCCTGCTGCCCCCAACCATCCTGCCCATCCTGCCTAAGCACTGTGATGAGGAGCAGCACGAGATCGTGATGGTGAGCCCCTCCAGAGGCCAGCCACTCACTCCCATGGCAGCGGGAGCAAGACCGTCATCTGTCTGAGTCCATGTTCCCCATCACCACAATACCCCAGACCGGGTTGTGCACAGAGGAGGAGGTTATTGTAATAAGGTTCTGAAAGTGGCAGGGCACAGCACTGGCATCTGCTTGGCTTCCGCTGAGGGTCTTGTATGTCCATGGCCAGGGAAGATGCCGAGGCGGGCAGCTCACAGCTCACCCTCAGCGCCTCCTGTGTCGGGGGAGCCCCACAACTGTAAACACCTCCTCTCAGAACTCTTACACTGGGGAACTCAGCATAAGTTCTGGTAGAGACAAACCACATTCAAACTGCAGCAGGCACCAAGTCAGTGGGTGGGCTGATGGTGACACTGAGACCCCACCGCGGACTCCCAGAGACCCGCTCGTACCCTCTGCCTTTGGGCCTGACGATTCGCCCTTTGGGATTGCTCACATGGTCCTCTCCTCGGCCCAGGAGGCCTGAGGGTCTCCTTCCCTCACCCTACTCACTCCGTACCTCCCTGCCCACCCTGCTGCTTTCCCCAAGATGCTACATTCTCCCCCTCTCGGGCCTCCACCGTCTTCCTTCCCTCAGCTTGGGACACCCTCCCCATGACCTCCGTTGCTCACTCTACACCCTTCATTCCTGCCCTGCCCCACCTGTCCCACCCTTTCCAGGGCTCCTGTGTGGACTGTCAAGCCCTAAATACCAGTGTGTGTCCCCCAAACAGCGTGAAGCTGGTGAGTATCCCTCAGCCCAGCCCCCAGGGCTCCCTGAATCCCAACCACTGGATTCTGCTCCAAGTCACAGTGGGAAGCGTGGGGGTGGGAGGCCAGGCCAGACCTGGAGGCCTGGGCTCCACAGAGGCTCTGAAGGTGGGCGTGTTGGAGCCAGGGATGGCTCAAGACCTCCCTCTTGACTAGCTCCACATGGCCTGCACAGGACATCTTCCCCAAGGAGTGTGTCTACACCCACAGTGCTCTCGGGTTCAGCGTGCTGAAGAAGGGCTGTGCACACAACTGCAACCAGACTATCACGGTGAGCCTGAGCAAGGTGCAAGTACTGTGCCCTGGGGAACCGAGGCGCACACTTCTCTCCTGGGGCCCTGAGCTGGGCCAAGTCGCCTGCCTTCCCTAGAGCCACACTGCATCTCTGTGGCAGAAAAGGGGCCATCGAGGGACCTCATCTGGAGTCAAACCAGGAGCAGAAGTATCCTGGGTAGGGTCGGGCATGGCCTGGACCCACGCATGCCCTGTCTCTTACAGAAGCGTGGCTGTTGCAAAGGGTTTTTTGGGCCTGACTGCACCCAGTGTCCCGGAGGATTCTCCAGCCCCTGCTACGGCAAAGGCAACGTGAGTCCTCCTCCCTCCCTGGGCTGGCAGTGACCGGCTATGTGTCAGAGCTGAGCCTGCCTTTCTGGCTTAGGGTTCTTTGCAGGTAGGCAAAGGCAGTGGGCCAATTTTCATTATTTGAATTAGAAATAATTAAATTCATAGATTGTTGCTTCTGTTTTTTAAGGGGTTACTGGTCAATAGTGTTCGTTTTCCTGTTTTTGCCATTTTGTGACATCAGGGCCACTGTTGCATCAGCAGTGGGAGAACGCAGGACTTAGGTTCCCTAGAGAATGCAGGACCTGCCAGACCAGGTGCCTTTTTGAGGCTTAAGAGAAGCATCTGTGATTCTGAAGGTTAAGGTCTTGGAGGAGCAGGAGCTCAAAGCCCCAAGGGAACGAGGAGCTGGCACTGTGGAACAGGACGGGCTAAGTCCCCTCCCAGGACCGACCCTGTCTCCTGCCCACTTTCCAGTGCAGCGATGGGATCCGGGGCAGTGGCGCCTGCCTCTGCTTCCCAGACTACAAAGGCATCGCCTGCCACGTCTGCTCCAACCCAAACAAGCATGGAGACCACTGCCAGGAAGGTGAGTGGCTCTGGCCCAGTCTAGGACCCTGGGATTCCCAGAAGGGAACAGAAATCATCTTCACCTATGTCAGAAAGGCAACTGTAATTCAATCTAAAGCAAACAGGATTTAGGTCAGATACATTGGAGAGCTTCCCACGGGCGGCATCAGGAGCAGAGCAGCTGGAACAGGGCAATGGAAACGCAGATGTCCCTGCCACATTTCATCTGCTTGTCCATCAAATCGGGGCTGACCTATGATTTTGTGACCTTGAAGTGAAATTTCGGCTGGCTGCCCCACCACCACCCCGCTAACCCAGTCCTGGCTCCCAATTAGCACTGCCTCCTGCCTCAGTTTCTCTGCTCCCATCTTCTCCCTACAGACTGTGGCTGTGTCCATGGTCTGTGTGACAACCGTCCGGGCAGTGGAGGGGTATGTCAACATGGCACATGTGCCCCTGGCTTCAGTGGCCACTTCTGTAACGAGACAGTGAGGGACTGTGGCCCCCCAGGGCTGGCTCAGCGCTGCCACCCACACGCCCGCTGCATCAGCCAGGATGGGGTCTCCAGGTGAGGACTCGGACTTCCTTCCATCCCTTTAGTAATCTTGGTGCTGGTTTGCTTGGTGTCCAGCATCCCCCTTCCGCCCATGCCAGGTGTGTCTGTCTAGATGACTTCGAGGGCGATGGCTACTCCTGCACCCGCCGGCACCCCTGCTCCCAGCCAGACCGTGGTGGCTGCTCAGAGAACGTCAGTTCCCTCATGTTCTGAACAGGAGGAGGAGGGGGCTCCCGAGACCCCTGCCCTTGGCCCTGCATCCCTGAGTCATTTATCTGTGCTGTCATAGGCTGAGTGTGTCCCTGGTGACCTGGGCAACCACAACTGCACATGCCACAGAGGCTGGAGCGGGGACGGCCGTGTCTGTGTGCCCATTGATGAATGTGGACTGGACACTCGAGGTGGCTGCCATGCAGATGCCCTCTGCAGCTATGTGGGCCCGGGGCAGGTGCGTAACAGTGTAGTGACCGAGGCCCTGATCCCAGCACAACCTTGGACTCAGGGAGCTGAGGTACAGATGCCAGCCATGCTCTCTGGGATTGGTTCCTGGGCGCTCATGTGCCATCAGGTCCCTGGCAGCCCCTGGTCTTGACTCAGACACTGTCGACCAAAGTAGGAAGAGATCCATCCCTGTGGGACCCGGAAATGTAGCTCTGGAACTTTGCAGCCTCATGTGCTATTCAGTCTCTTAGGGCCTGGAGCCTTCCCCAGGAGGGTTACAGGCCTAGTGGACATGAGTCTTGACGGGTGTGAGAATGTCTACTGCATTGGAGGACAAACCTGGCTGTTTTGCAGTCAGCCTCCACATGGCTTAGGTATGAGCGAGGACCTGTAGGGCTCCCTGTCCTCCCAATTGCACGGTGGCCTTGGGGTCCTGGCCCATGGGATCCTGGCAATAAGAACTTGCATGGCATAAGGCTGGATCAGGAATCTTAAAGTTCCTAACTGCAGTTTTGAATGAGCAAGCTGAGATGTCCCATTTGCCAGTGTGTGGACAAGCCGAAGGGAAGGGGCTAAAGGAGCTATACAGCATGGCAGGGGTGCAAATGAAGCCCCTCCTGCCATCCCTGAGCTGGCCTCAACAGATCCCTACCCATTTGTCACAGCCATGGGCCCGAGTGCCCTGGCAGGGGTCCGACTATAGTGGGCACCAAGGCTCCACAGATGCTTCCTTGCCAGTGCCTTCATTTCCTTAGTCTCACCCTGGGAGCTGGGGGCTTCTGGACACAGAACTCCAGGGAAGCATGGGGAAGGTCCTGTGGGGTCCAGGCCAGGCTCGGTGGGGACAGTCCCCAGGAGGGCCCAGGAGTAGAGGAGGAAAGGACTGGGTGTTCATGGTGAGATGAGGTCCTTTGCTCCCTGACTCCCCAGAGCCGATGCACCTGCAAGCTGGGCTTCGCCGGGGATGGCTACCAGTGTAGTCCTATTGACCCCTGCAGGGCAGGCAACGGAGGCTGCCACGACCTGGTGAGAGGGGTGGGGTGAGCCCTGGGAGGCTCTCTGGTCAGCCTGGCTGTGTCCCCTGACAACTTTGAGACCTTTCTAAATCCCAAATCCAACCATGTCACTCTCTTGTCCTGTCACAGGCTAAAACCCCACAGGTCCTGCAAGAGCCAGCCGAGCCTCCTCTCTCTGCCCCATCCCACCCCATTCCTTGCTGTCACTGAACCTCACTCCCTTTCCCCAAGTCGCCCCTCTGGCCTGGCTATCTCCTGCTCTTAGCTCAAGCTCCTAAAGGCACAGGGCTACCTGGGTGAATCCTGTAATTTGCACGTCAGATGCTCTGGTGCTGCTGAAAGTCAGCAGGGTTGGGGAGTGAGAACCGGTGGCTGGGCAGGTGGAAAGCAGAGATGGATGGGAAAGGGGAACAGAGACAACAGATGACCAGTGTCCAGCTTGCCATATAGCTGATTCATATAGGTGCTGAGTGGAGGGCCATGTCTGTCTGTCTTCCACCCCACCAGGCCACCTGCAAGGCAGTAGGGGGCGGTCAGCGAGTCTGTACATGTCCCCCTCATTTTGGGGGCGATGGTTTCAGTTGCTATGGAGACATCATCCGGGTAAGTAATGGTAGCTTGTCCTTTCTTCCCTGGGCTTGAGCAGGAGTCCTCCTGTGCACCTCAGGTGGAAAGGTGGTAGTGCCCAGGTCGCTGATTGGCCTTCAGTTGCAGGACTAGCTCTTCCCCTCCCTGTAGGAACTGGAGGCAAATGCTCACTTCTCCACCTTCTACCAGTGGTTCAAGGTAGGACAGGGTAGGACCCTTGGGTGGGGGGATCAAACTCCAGCAGGCCTTTCTGGAAGCAGGGGTGTCATCTAACATTGCCAAAAACCGGAGGCTGTCTTATCACTCTTGCCCTGTTCATGGTGTTTAGAGTGCCGGCATCACCCTTTCTGCTGACAGCCGAGTCACAGCCCTGGTGCCCTCTGACTTTGCCATCCGTAGGCTGAGCCCTGAGAACAAATCCTTCTGGCTGCAGCCGAAGATGCTGCCATACCTGGTCAGGTGGGGCAGCTGTGAGCGGGCCAGGCCATGGGAGGGGGAAGCTCCTGGGGGCCCAGGCACTCCCCAAAGAGGCAGAGAATTGGGTCCTCTCCTGGCATGTGTCCACCTGTTGCGTGAAGTGTCCAGTCCCAAAGGTCTCTGTATCTTACAGTAATCTGCTTCTATCCCCCCTAAACTGTTGTCCCTCAGGGCCCATTTTCTCCAGGGTACCCTCTCTGAGGAGGACCTGGCCCGGCTAGGTGGACAGGACGTGGCCACACTGAACCCTACCATGCGCTGGGAGATTCGCAACATCAGTGGGGTATGAGATGAACTCTGGGCAGAGGAGGGACCAGACAGGGGATAGGAGGGAGCTCAAGTGGTTAGAGACTCCCCCCGACCAGTGTTCCCAGAGGATGAGGTTGGGGTCTCCTCAGTCGAGTTCAGAACACAGTTGCTATGTCCTGATGACCATGTCTTTGGGCCAGCAGTGATTTCCCCCCGGGGCTGTCTACACGTATCTACCTGTCCTCCTCGTTGTGGACCCTAGCAGATGTCTGTGTAACCTACTTGGCAGAGCCTGAGTCTGAGCTTTGCCAGCCAGGCTGGGCCACACTGCTCTGCTTGCTGTCTTCCAGAGGGTCTGGGTGCAGAATGCCAGTGTGGACGTGGCTGACCTCCTTGCCACCAATGGTGTCCTACACATCATCAACCAGGTATTGCAGGAGGAGGGTGTACGCCGGACATTGCCTGGGCAGGCCAACAGGCAATGACAGTCCCTTGTGTCCACGTCCATGCCAGGTCTTGCTGCCTCTGCGAGGGGACGTGCAGGTTGGGCAGGGGGTTCTGGAGCGGCTGGGTCAGGTGCCCACTTTCCGCCTCTTCAGGGAGCTACTGCAGGTAAAGCAGGACAACAAGAGCCAATGCCTGCTTGCAGGCACCTTGCCCAGTCTGGGTAAGGCTGGCCGGTAGCTGGTGTCAGGACTGGGATTAACACGCCCATTCCAGGGGCTGAGGATTTAGCTCAGCAGCATAAGCACCCGTCTTGCAAGCAGGCGGACGTGAGTTCGATCCCCAGTACCGATAAAAATGAAAAAGACAAAAAAAAAAAAAAAAAAAAAAATCCACGCCCATTTCTAACCCCTGTTCCTAGCACCACAGCCTGGTGCCCCAGCTTGAGGCTGCCACTGCCTATACCATCTTTGTGCCCACAAACCAATCTCTGGAGGCCCAAGGGAACAGCAGCAGCCTGGTGAGTCCATGTTTCTGGGGGCGGAGGCTAAACACAGAATGAACCTCCTGTGCCGAGGCAGTGATGACCAGAGGGCTTGGGAGTCCCAGATCCCCCTGAGCTGAGCCCCCATCCCCCAGGATGCAGACACAGTGCTACACCACGTGATCTTGGGGGAGGCGCTCTCCATGGAAGCCCTGCAGAAGGGGGGACACCGCAACTCCATGCTGGGTCCAACCCACTGGCTTGTCTTCTACAACCACAGTGGCCAGGTTTGAGAGATGGGCATGTGGAAACCCCTTCCCAGGGACCTGCTCTGGAAGACTCTTTTTGGAGTTTCTCTGCCTAGGAGCCTCTAACCTGTGCTCCTGTGAGACCCGCCTCCCATCCTCGGAGCGCCCCTATGCCCTGTGGTGTGTCCTGCCTTTACAGCTCCTTAAATGCTGGAGGTTGGGGGTGTGGGTGCATTCAACTTCTGGCCCCCTTTTCCCAGCCTGAGGTGAACCACATGCCCCTGGAAGGGCCCTTTCTGAAGGGTCCTGGATACTCGCTGTTTGGCCTGTCGGGGGTCCTGACTGTGGGTAGGAGCCGCTGCATGCTCAGCCACACGGAGGCCCAGCGGGTGAGAGGCTGGAATGGGAGGGAAGGCAGGGGGTGGGAAGGGGTGGTGGGGATGGGGGTGGCTGCCAGTTGACCTGGCCGGCTATGGGGAGCCCTCAGTCAGCCACCCTGAAGGAAGCACAGAGGGTTTGGGGGCCCCCAACCTGGACCACCTGGTGCTGTTTTCTTCCCAGGAGAAATGCGTAAGCTGCTCCCGGAAATTCCGCTGTACTCAGGGCTACCAGCTGCAGGTGAGGCCGGGTTCTGCACAGGCAGGTGTCCTTCCCCGCTTCACTGCCCTCGGCTCCCAAGCAGCCCATACACACCCTGGGCCCGGCTCTGCCATGTACCTGGGGAACTGGAGTGCGTGGGCAGCCACTTCCCTGTGGCTAGGGTTCTGGGAAAGAAGCCCCACTCACCAATGAGGTCCACTTCCCACAGCAGTCTCTCTGGGCCCTCCTACACCGAGGCTCCTGCTCCCATCTGTCTGTCTTACCAGCTTAGACACCTGCAGTGCTTTGTGTCTCTTCATTCTCCTCATCCCTGCCCAGCCCGCTGGCTGACCCTCCTGTCGTTCTGTTCCAGGACACGCCCAGGAAGAGCTGCGTGTACAGGGCAGGCCTTGCCATCTCCCGGGGCTGCTCCTACACCTGTGTCAAAAAGATCCAGGTTTGCCCTGAGCCCCTCCCCCACAAGGTTTTGGCCAGGGAGCAGGTGCCGACAGAGGAGGAGCTCAGACTAGATTTTCAGGGCAGCACAAGCGAAGCAAGGATGGTCTGAAGAAGGGAAGGGAAGAGATGTCCAAAGTCAGAGGGCCGCTGTTTTCCCTTCTGCCCCTCCCCCAGAGAGTAGGGAAGGAGGACTCAGCCCTGGGATCAGGCACTGCCCTTGCAGTCTTGAGCTTGTTCCCCCACCCTGCCAGGGTTGGTGGTAAAAGGCATTCAGCTGCTTTCCGCTCTTATCTGCCTATCCTGGGTTTGTGGCCCTGAGAGGCCCATCTTTTTCTCCCCCTCATCCATCCTGCCCTGCATGGAACATTTTCTTCCTTCCCTAATTCCCAGGTCTTTGCAGGTGCCTGATTGCTGCCCTGGCTATTTTGGCACACTGTGTGAGCCATGCCCCAGGGGCCTGGGAGGTGTGTGCTCAGGCCACGGGCAGTGCCAGGACAGGTTCCTGGGCAACGGGGAGTGCCGCTGCCATGAGGGCTTCCATGGGACGGCCTGCGAGATGTGCGAGCTGGGCCGCTATGGACCCAACTGCACGGGAGGTGAGGACGGGAGGGGCAGGGTGGCGGGCACCTTGGGGGAGGGGCAGGATGCAGGCTCCGCATAATTCCTGCACTTCCTCGTCCCTTTTCAGTGTGCAACTGTGCCCACGGACTCTGCCAGGAGGGGCTGCGAGGGAACGGAAGCTGTGTCTGTAACGTGGGGTGGCAGGGTCTCCGCTGTGACCAGAGTGAGTAGAACACCAGGGCGTGGGGTGAGTGATTCTAAGGGAGACAGTGCCTGAGTGTGAATGACCAGAACCTTCTTCCTGTCCCCAGAAATCACTGGTCCTCAGTGTGAGGAGAAATGTGACCCCAATGCCAAGTGAGATGAACTTTGGGGGGAGATGGGCAAGTAATGGGAGGACTGGGGAACAGGGCAGGGGGTGGCAGGCACAGTCTGAACTGCCACTTCCCTCCTAGCTGCATGCAGAGCTCAGCTGGAGCCCCTGCCTGTGTCTGTGCTGCGGGATATTCGGGCAATGGCAGCTACTGTTCAGGTCCAGCCCTCTGGGTGCCCTAGACTCTTTTCTCAGATGTAGGGGGTGGCTGACCCTTCTGCTGTCCAAATGAGTCCTACCTCTCCCTCCGACCTTTTACCATCTCTCATGACCTCCTCTCGTGCCCCACCTCCACTTCTCACAACTCTTTGGAATGATTTACCCCTAGAGGTGGATCCCTGTGCCCACGGCCATGGAGGCTGCTCCCCCCATGCCAGCTGCACCAAAGTGGCTCCTGGGCAGCGAACGTGCACCTGCCAGGATGGCTACACAGGTGACGGGGAGCTGTGCCAAGGTGAGGCTGGGCCCACCAACCCAGATGGTTATAGGACTAGAAGTCTGGTGTCAGTGGTCTGAAGCAGGCTAGGGTTGGAAAGCAAGGTGTGGAGACTGGAGTTCCAGAAAGGGGAGGGAATAAGCACCTGATGGTATAGACAGATGGATGAATGGAGGGGCTACCAATGGCCACCCCCTCATCCCAGTGTCTGTACCCACAGAGGTTAACAGCTGTCTCAACCACAATGGAGGCTGCCACATTCATGCTGAATGCATTCCCACAGGCCCTCAGCAGGTCAGCATGGCAGGCTGGACACTGGGGTTGTCCTGTATGGTGGGGCCTCTTTCAGACCAGCCCTGGGGAGGAGGTGACCCTTTTGTCTAGGGCACTGGCCAGCTTTTGGCTCCCAGCAGCCCTACTGATTGGGATTTGGTACAGGTGTCCTGCAGCTGCCATGAGGGTTACAGTGGAGATGGGATCCGGACCTGTGAGCTTCTAGACCCCTGCTCCAAGGTCAGGTCCCCCACTAGCACATTTTTCAGGAGAAGGGACTGTGGTGGGGAGCACCTTCCTTACCCTGGGAGGACCCTAAGGGCCTGTGGAGGGCGGGCCACCTTCCCCACAAGCTCAGTCTGGTTCCTGATAATAGAAATGGAGCTTTAGGGTCAGACAGCCACTTCATGACTTCACACCAGGGCTGGATGTGACTGAAGGGTCTTGGAAGTCACTGATGCCTCCCTTCCGGTCCCTGTCTCAGAACAATGGAGGCTGCAGCCCTTATGCTGTGTGCAAAAGCACAGGGGATGGCCAGAGAACGTGCACCTGTGATGCAGCCCGGACAGTGGGAGACGGCTTCACCTGCCGCACTCGCGTGGGCCTGGTAAAGATGCTCCAGTCTGCCCCGACCTGATCCTGGTTATGCTTCATGGCACTGACCAGGATTTGATCCTGATCCTGGTCTTGACCATGGTCCTGCACCCCTGACTCTTCCTGAGCCTAACTCAGCTGTGACACATGACATAACCCTGACATAAGCCCCACTCAGACTCCCTGAGCCTTCCTTTCCACATCTCTGGCCTGACCAGACCTTAGGTGCAGGTGCTGGGACAGGAGCCAGGCCCTGAATGGGGCCACCCCAAATCTGAGCTGATCCTTGCTCCCCAGGAACTCCTCCGGGACAAGAATGCCTCATTCTTCAGCCTCCATCTGCTGGTGAGTAACCAGCCTGGGCCCACCATCTCCCTACTTACCCATGTGGTAGGGAACCTGCTCTGAGTTTGTCTTTGGGGATGATCTATGGAGCCGGAATTGCTTCTCACTTCTCAGGAATACAGGGAGCTCAAGGGTGACGGGCCCTTCACAATCTTCGTGCCTCAGGCAGATCTGATGACCAACATGTCGCAAGTACGAAGCTGCCATAGAGGAAGGTTGGGGAGGGAGGTTGACACTGGTCGTGGGCGCCTGCGGGCAGAGGTAGCAATCGGAGGCCCCATTACCTTTGTGATGCCGCTTTAGGAAGAGCTGGCTCGGATTCGGGCACATCGCCAGATGGTATTCCGCTACCACGTGGTCGGCTGCCGGCGGCTGTGGAGCCCGGACCTGCTGGAGCAGGAGTACGCCACGGCGCTCTCAGGGCACTCGCTTCGCTTCAGCGAGAGGGAGGTGAGCAGGGCGCAGTTGCACCCGCCCTAGTGAAGCCCGTCGGGTCCTTGCCCCAGTCCAGGTTCAGATCCTCAGACTAGCCCAGGGGCACGTGCACCTCACCCTATGCTTGTTTCCCGAGCCTCGCCACGCGTCCCACTCCTAGCTCCTCCCTCAGTGCTGAACCTGACGGTGGGTGCAGCCGGTGCTGCTCCTCCAGCCCCCACCATACCCCCGACACACCCATTCTTCGGCTCCTCCCACCCCATCAGCGCCATTCAGCTCCACGCCCCACCCCCAGGGCAGTATTTACATCAACGACTTCGCACGGGTGGTGAGCAGCGACCATGAGGCGGTCAATGGGGTCCTGCACTTCATCGATCAAGTCCTGTTGCCACCAGACGTAGTATACTGGGAGCCCGGTGCTGTCACCGTCCCCCGGGTATGGTACAGGGTATGGTCCAGACTGGGGCCTGGATTCCCCTTTCCGCCTGACCTGGCTGCTCACGATGGTCTCTCCCCAGAAGAACCTCACCATCACCACCGCTGCAGACAGCTTTGGTTACAAGACCTTCAGCCACCTGGTGAAGGTACTGCCCCAAAGTGTGCCTCACAGTGTTTAGCTTCTAGCAGATGAGGGTGCCTGTGCACACTGCAGTGTGCAGACCACATCTCTAAGGGCGAGCCCACTGACCCAAGTGTGCAGGGGGTGTGTGTGCCAATGCCTCTCCATAAGGGTGCTCCCGTGAAGTGGTCCTTATCTGCTTCGAGCAATTCCAGCTACCTGCACTCAACTGCAGTCTGAAAATACTAGGTGGAAAGTCCCAAAAATAAATGACTCTTAGCTTTCCCCCAGAGCCCCTTAGATAACTTCTAATGTGATACACTGCTAGGAATTCTAATTTATTATTATCGTTAATTTCTTACCAGGAAGAATAGGCTGCACAGGGTTCAGTGCTATTTACAGTCTCATGCATCCCTGGCAGGGTGTGTGCGCGCGCATGCGTGCAGAGTGGAGTAGAAGGAATCCCCTGAGGGTGAGGGGTGTGGCTAATGCACCCTCTTCCCTCATTGCTGCCCCTCACCCTGCAATCATCCTGACTGCTGCCTCTCTGCTCCAACCCACCACCAGATGGCCGGCCTCCTACCCATGCTCCAAGATGCATCCCATCGGCCCCTCACAATGCTGTGGCCTACGGATGCTGCCCTGCAGGCCCTGCCCCCTGATCGGCAGGCCTGGCTGTACCATGAGGACCACCGTGACAGGCTGGCAGCCATTCTCCGTGGCCATGTCATCCGTAATATGGAGGTGAGCACACCTCAGAGCTTGGGGGATCCCCACTGCTTGCTCCTTAGCCTGCCTGCTGGCTCCAGTTGTGGCTCCATTTGTTCAGGCCTTGGCATCCGACCTGCCCAACCTGGGCCTACTCCGAACGATGCATGGGACTCCCATCTCCTTCTCCTGCAGCCGTGGCAGGCCTGTGAGTCTGGGAGAGGACTCAGGAGAGGGCAGTGAGGGACGGCAGGGCCTCCTACTCCCATGTGCTCCACATCATCTGTCTGCAGGGTGAGCTCATGGTGGGTGAGGATGATGCCCGGATCGTACAACGGTACCTGGCCTTTGAGGGTGGCCTGGCCTATGGCATCGACCAGCTGCTGGAGCCCCCTGGCCTTGGTGCTCGCTGCGATCGCTTTGAGACACGACCACTGCGACTGGTAAGGGAGACCACAGGCCAGAGGTGGCGGAGCTGGGGCCCAAGCGCAGCTGTTCTGTCTACACCCACCTGACCTTGTGGTGTTGGCCTCTACCCCTTCCAGAAGATCTGCAGCGTCTGTGGGCAGGAGCCACCCTGTCCTGAAGGCTCTCGGGAGGAGGTAAGGCACCTAAAGTGAGCTAGGATAAGGCAGAGGCCAAGGACTGCCAAACTTAGGCTGCCTATGACCTGACTCTTCCTGGCCCAGGGTAGCACTGAGACCTGTTGGCGCTACCCAAAGCTCTGGACAAACGCTCTACTGCATCCCTTCATGCTTGGTGGTGTATGGGTGCGGCCCAGCTACTGGGGTCAGCCTCAGAGCTTGGACAGGGGTTGCCAGCGCTCCTGTGTCACCACCATCTGGAAGCCTACCTGCTGTCCTGGCCACTATGGCAGTGAGTGCCAAGGTGAGCATCCTGAGGTTGCAGACTCCCGACCCACTCCTCAAGCCCCCAGTTTACCAAGGACAGAGCTCTGGTCCTTGTCCCTAAGAAAGGATATCCAGGGTGGGGGAGGTCTGGGCAATGAGCAGATTTACTAGAGGGGATGCTCAACGGGGGATGGGCGTGTGGAGGCTGTGGAAATGCTGGAGCACCTAGGAGTTCTCCAGGGCCTCCTGGCATGGAGGTGTCCTCAGCAATGTGGGAGCATCGTGGATGGGTGCTCCCTGAAGAAGCGGCCACTGGTTGGGGGGCAGATGCCAGGACTGAGCTACATGCGTGAGTGTCCTGATGGGAGCCCTTCCCAACCTCTTTCTCCTGCCCTGCCTCCCAGCTTGTCCTGGTGGCCCCAGCAGCCCCTGTAATGACCATGGTGTGTGCCTGGATGGCATGAATGGCAGTGGGCAATGTAAATGTCATTTGGGTTTTGCTGGGATGGCCTGTGAACTCTGCGCCCCGGGTGCCTTTGGACCCCAATGCCAAGGTGGGCTATCCCTGCCCTGTCCCACCTAGCCCCAATTCCCTTGGCTTAAGTGCCCACCTTTATCCTCCTGCCTGTCCCTCTCTCCAGCCTGCCGCTGCATGCCACATGGCCGCTGTGATGAGGGCCTTGGGGGCTCTGGTTCCTGCTTCTGTGATGAAGGGTGGACTGGGCCACACTGTGAGGTGCAGCTGGGTGAGTGTCCGTGGGGTTTGTGCCCATGCAGCGTACACTTGCACACTACCCCAAGGGTACACGCAGTGGGGAGGCCTGAGGGTGGCTAGGACAGGTGGACACCAGGAGCGCAGCTGCTGACCTGGTCATATGGGATGGGCCTGGGGGCAGAGTTGCAGCCCGTGTGTACCCCACCCTGTGCATCCCAGGCCATGTGCCGTGCAGGCAACCACTGCGAGTGTGGCTTGGGCTATGAAGGTGATGGCCGTGTGTGCACAGGTGAGCAGGTGACAGGGAGGGACGGGGGGCACCTCCAGTTCCCTTATCACCTGCCTTAACCACTGTCTTCTTCTGTCCCAGTGGCAGACCTGTGCCAGGATGGGCATGGTGGCTGCAGTGAACATGCCAACTGCAGCCAGGTAGGCACAGTGGTCACGTGTGCCTGCCTGGCCAACTATGAGGGCGATGGCTGGAGCTGCCGGCCCCGCAACCCCTGTGCGGACAGCCATCGTGGGGGCTGCAGCGAGCACGCTGACTGCCTGTACACTGGCCCAGTAAGGAGGGCTTGAGCTAACAGCCAAGGCGGGGCAGTCCCTCCAACTCACTGCCCTTGTCTCTGAAGGACCCCACTATCTCCCTGCTCTAGAACACCCGGCGCTGTAAATGCCACGCAGGCTACGTGGGTGATGGATTACAGTGTCTAGAAGAAGCGGAGCCGCCTGTGGACCGCTGTCTGGGCCGGCCGTCACCCTGCCATTCGGATGCAGTGTGCACTGACCTGCACTTCCAGGGTGTGTTCCCTGCTTGCTGCTGGCTGGTGCTTTCTCTCTCTGCCTTCTGGCCAGCTGACCACCATCGCTTTTCTCCTGCAGAAAAGTGGGCTGGTGTCTTCCACCTCCAGGCCACCAGTGGCCAATATGGCCTGAACTTCTCAGAGGCTGAGGCAGCCTGTGGGGCCCAGGGAGCTGTCCTTGCTTCATTCTCTCAGCTTTCTGCTGCCCAGCAGGTATGCGAGCTCAGGAGTCACAGCCAAGTCTTTGGGGTCCCAAGTTGGGCCATGGGTCTCAGCATCCCTGCTTTTGCAGCTGGGCCTCCACCTCTGCCTAGTGGGCTGGCTGGCCAATGGTTCTGCTGCCCATCCTGCTGTGTTCCCTGCAGCAGACTGTGGTGATGGTCAGGTAGGTGTGGTCAGCTTAGGCACCCGAAAGAACCTCTCGGAGCGCTGGGATGCCTACTGCTACCGTGTACAAGGTGCGTCCATCCTACCACGCCCTGCTTTGCCCCTCCTGCCAACCTACGAGTCACTGACCTGCCTTCCTTGCAGACGTGGCTTGCCGATGTCGGGACGGCTTTGTGGGAGATGGTATCAGCGTGTGTAATGGGAAGCTGCTTGATGTACTGGCTGCCACTGCCAACTTCTCTACCTTTTATGGGGTGTGCAGGGACCCAGACTCAGGGGTGGGGCCCGGGTGCCCGGGGTGCCCAGGGAGGAGCCTGTCCACAGCCCTGTCTTCTCAACCTCCCAGATGCTGCTGGACTATGCCAATGCCACCAAGCGAGGTCTGGACTTCCTGGGTTTCCTGGATGATGAGCTTACTTACAAGACACTCTTCGTCCCTGTCAACGAAGCCTTTGTGAATAACATGGTAACACAGGGGTGCGGGCACAGCAGGCACCAGGCTGTTCCCTCTGGCTGGCCCCACCTAACAGGCCTTTCTCCACCCAGACGCTGAGCGGCCCAGACCTTGAACTCCATGCTTCCAATACCACCTTCCTGCACACAAACGCCACGCAGGGGACCTTGCTCCCTGCCCACTCAGGTCTCAGCCTTGTCATCAGTGACGTGGGCCCTGACAATAGTTCTTGGGCCCCTGCGGTGAGTCTAGCTTCGTCCTCCCTGCTGGATCTGGTCCTCTCCTGCAGGGCCTGACACTTGTCTCCCTGCAGGCTCCAGGGACGGTTGTGGTTAGGCATATCATCGTGTGGGACATCATTGCCTTCAATGGCATCATTCACGCTCTGGCCAGCCCCCTCATGTCGCCTCCACAGGCTGTGAGTCTGGGGAGGAAGGCAGAGCTGTAAGGGGTGAGGGACAGCTTTGGCCAGGTCTCTGATGCTCTCCTTGTTTGCAGGGGGCAGTAATAGTACCCGAGAGCCTGCCTGTGGCAGCAAGTGTTGGGGCTGTGGTAGTCATTGGAGCACTGCTCTGTTTGGTGGCAGCAGCTCTCTACCTCCGAGTTCGAGGCAAGCCTGCTGGGTTTGGCTTTTCCACCTTCCAGGTAGGGTTGGCGACACGGAGGTGGTGAGCAGGGTCATTGTCCTTCCATCTTCCATGAGACCTGTCATCCCTCTTAGGCAGAGGATGATGCTGATGATGACTTCGCTCCATGGCAAGAAGGGCACCCAACCCTTGTCTCTGTACCTAATCCTGTTTTTGGCAGCCACGATGCTGTCTGTGAGCCCTTTGATGTGAGTGTGGGAGGTGTGGAGGTGTGGAAGGGGTCCCGGGCCCCATCTTGCCCTGCTGCAACTGGCCTCCCTCTCCCAGGACTCACTCCTTGAGGACGACTTCCCTGACACTCAGAGGATCCTTGCTGTCAAGTGATGGGCTGAGGTCAAGCAGAGCATGTGGGAAGTGACCACTTTTATTGCTTTTCTGGACAGAGGCCCAGTGTGGATGGGGCAGGAGGGAGTGGGGGTCTGTCCTGGATAATAAAGGTACCCTCAGCGGATATGAGCCATGTCACCGAGGAAGGGTGTCTTCATGCAGCCTGTGCACAGCTGGTCCATCCAGAGGGGTGCCTCATGCTGCAGGGGTGTGCGGCGTGGGTAGAAGGTGAAGTCCACTCGGTAGTTGAGCAGGCAGCTGAGAGAGGCCATGTAGAGGTCGGAGAAGCGCACGAGGCGCCTGGAGAAGTAGGTGGGGTTGTGGAAGGTACGGAAGATGCTCCCAAACTGAGCATTGAACAGGGCCTTGGTGATGTACCTGGGGAGAAGAAGGGGCTCTTGAGAGTGGACACATGAGGGCCTAGGACAAGACCTACCCTGGCGCCCCGCTGTGCACCTCAGCTCCTGCCGCTCCTTCATCCAGGCAGCCAGCACCTGTTGTGACTCTGCGTCCTGATAAGTCTGGAGTGGGGAAAAGCCAGTATATGGCTCATCTGCCCAGGAGGCTAAAGCCCTGGCCTCTCCTCCCAGACGACCTACTGCCCTGTACCTGCATGCGCTCCAGCAGCCCCGTCAGTGCCTGCTGCCAGGTCAGCGAGTGCATGTACTGTTCAGTGTTGATGATGCGGATCTCGCGCTCCAGCTCCGGGATGATGGCGCCTGTGCGCCAGCCATGACGCAGCATGAGATCCTGGTGGGAGACTGGCATCAGTGACAGCTGGGAAGCTCCCCACCCTTCAGCCCTGTGACCCAGCCCTGCCTCCTCACCGCTAGATCACTGTAGAGATGGTCTCCAAAGTAGAGGACCCGGGGGCCACGCCACTCTGTCAGCCGGAGGAAGTCAAACAGGTTTCCCTTGGGAATGGAGAAAGACTGCTGAGTCAACAGGTCCCATGGGGCCGAGGCACCGCCCTCTCAGTGCTGCTGGAGGCCAGAGGTCGGGCTGCCCTTTCCAGCGGCCTGGCTGTGCTGTAGTCCTCACCACTCACCCTCCCACTTGAGAAGTGGGTGTCTGCCCACCACAGGGTGGGCGCCTGTGGGCCTACTGCAGTGTCCTGATCCTGGAGGGTCTCACACCTGTTCCAGGCTGGACACTAAGTCCCTGTTTATGAGAAACAGGCCATTGAGCAGGCCCCATGCTCTAAAGCAAAGGGCCCTGAGATTCCTGTTGACTGCCTCAGCCCAGAGGGATCCAAGAGACCAGAGGCCCAGCTCACTGGCCAGGCTGTTGGCTTTTCCTGCTCCGAAGTCAGAGAAACAAACACTTGGCGGGCCCAAATATAACTGGAAAGGTCATGGGGCAGAGTGATGGTGGAGGAGTCAGAACCAGTTGTCCCCTCAGATCCAGAAGCAAGAATGTACACCCAGTGAACGTACACCCATAGTTCACAGAGCTGTCTGCCCCCAAGAGCCTCAGAGGGATGGGAACAGCTGGGACAAATGGTTGTAGAGAAGCAGGCAGACCCACTTAAGGCTGTGACCCCTGGCCAAGGAAGGATCTTGAGGCAAGAGATGGGGAGAGGACAGAGAATGACGGGGACTTAGGGCGAGGCTCATGAGAACCAGGCAGGATCCAACACACACAGCATAAACAAACTTCAGACCGTTGGATTAAGAACTGCCTGGCAGCTACAGAGGAAGAAGTTAACATTCCCACAATAGTGCCTGCTTTCCTCCACCATGGGTAGATGCCGAGACCAAGGAGAGCACTTTCCTCAGAGTGGGGTTGGAGTGCTGCCGCTAAGCCAGGCCTGAGCACTTGGACACTGTGCCCTTGGCCAACTGCTGGCTCCCCCAGCACCAGCATCGAGGCCTCCGGAATCTCTACCCGTAAGACACCCGGCTCAGCCAGGATTTCCACATTCCAGTCAAGGCCAAATGCCTTAATCAGCTCCTCTCATGGCCACCTGATAGTTCAGGCTCGGCCCTTTATCTTCCTAGCCAGGCAGGAAGAGGCCCTCTCCAGTTTTCAGGAACTTGCTACTAGCCTGGCTCAAGAGTTCCCCAGCCGGGTCTTCCCATAGCAGTGCTCAGCCCCAGCTAACTATAGTGCCATTCACCAGGTCCTCAGAGGGGACAGCACATTCTAAGTTCTTTATGCCACAACTTGAGGAGAGTACCAAGCTGCTTTTGCAATAAGGTGACTAGGTCAGGCTCCCCCTGCTACTGTGTGGGGTCACACTCATGCAGCATGACCAAGAAGCCAAGCACCCTCTTCCCATGGTTCAGATCTCCCAGACCTGCTCTCTAACTCACCTGCCATGGTGACTAGCAGTCACTGCTGCTGGTTCTAGCCCAGTGTGGGGCTGGCCAGGGATATGGGGGCTGTGGTGCTTCCTCAGAGGCTGTGGCTACACAGGCCAAGGTCTTGGTTAGCCCCTAGCAACTGCTGGGTGCTACCTTTCCAGACTGCCCTCACCTGCCGATAGATTGTGCCCTTTTCCAAGCGCGTGATCCGGTCCCAGTGGAGTGAGCCCTTTTCATCGAGTTTTCGGAAAGGCCTGAGGGGAGAGCCAGGGGCTGGATCTGCAGTCTGTGCTCCCCGATCTCTGCAAGCCCACCCACAAGTGCATGCCTCCTAGCAAGGTCACTTTCTCACCCCACACGGAGTGACGAAAAAAGGCCAGTCTGGCCTTGTGTCTCAAGTCCCCTCACTAGGGTAGGGGCCTCTGCTTCCCCCACCCCACTGCCTGCTTCCAAGACCATACTTGCGCCGGTCAGTGAAAAAGCTGGGCTTGTCTGCCTGGACGATAACCACGTCAAAGAGTTGGCGCCAGTCGGGACCCACCATGTGCCTCATGCCCTTGTCCCTGTGAAGATGTGATGCAGGCTGCAGGTAGTCTGGCCACCAGCCCAGGCTGCGGTCCTGCCCCCCCATCCACAGTGGGGCTGGACTCACACAAAGCTGAAAGGACTGTTAGTGATGAGGAACAGCTGTTTCCCATGGGCTACCAGGCGGCTCAAAACTGCAAATGTTTCATCTCCTCTCAGGATGTACTTCTCTGAGGGAGAATATGGGCTGTGAGGGCCAGTCCTTCCTCCTGCTCAGACAAGCCAAGGAAGGGCTACTGTCCACCCTTACCCATGTCTCGCTCAATCCACTGGTACATGAGGCCCTTCACATGCACATCTCGAATAGCATCCTGCAAGATGAATGGGAACAATAAGGGCACAGCAGGGTCCAAGAAAGGCCTGCCGTATTGTGGTTGGACTATGCCTTCCTGCCAGCTAACAGGCAGTCCTAGAATCCCTACCGTCACATCCTTGTACAGGTGTGCTTGGTCAAACTCCAGGCTGTGGCCCAGGAAGTAGTCCACCACACAGGACAGCAGTGCCATCTCTGGCAGTGAGAAGATGTCCATGAACTGCTTGATGGAGGGGCCCTATGGAGAGGGCTATGTCTCAGCCATCCCTCTGACCCCACCACCCCGGCACTGGGGTCTAAGGCCTTCAAATATGCCTTGGAACACTGTCAGAACTCAGTGGTGGGTCAGGGCTGGCCAACTGCCCTATGGGGAGCTGGCATCAGTGAGATCACCACTATGTGGCCTCTTTGAGGAGCAAGATGATGGGAATACCTTGCCGTAGAAACCACTCATCTGGTAGAGTGGGATGTGCTGGGTGCCTCCGTAGAGGTCGATCACTTCTTCATCTGGCACAGGCTGGAGGCCCCTGAATTGGGGCACAAACACCATCATTCCAAACCCAGGCAGGGTGGTGGCTGGGGCAGGACCAAGGCAGAGACAGTACTGACCTGTAGGCTGTCCCCAGCTGCACATAATGGAACGCGTCAATCTTCATCAGAAGGCTCTGGGGGCACCAGAGGCAAGTCAGCAATGAGATGTAAGTTTCTGCCTCTGAGCAGCAGAGTTCTCTGCCTCATTGATGTTCCTAAGCTTTAACTAGCTGCCCTGAGCCAGCCTCTTCTAGTCACCATGCCAAAGCCTCCATGGGAGGGTCCTACCGGATCAGGTGCAAACCAAGAAGCAGCTACAGCTTTGAGACCAAGGGGTTAGAGAGATGAGACCTTTCTTGAGAGGAAAGCGGTGACAAGCAAAGAGTCCTGCACATGTCCAGCCAGGACGCTGTACCCAGCCACTCACCTTCTGAATGTCATAGTGGAGGCCTCGGATGGCAAAGCTGGGGTTGTAGTCATACTTGCGAATTCCCTCTGGGTACTACTGAGCAAAAAGAACCAGGCCTAAGCCAGCAGCACTACCAGTCCTGCTGGCTGGCTGGCTACCTTACGGTATCGATCCAGCTCTGCCCTGAGGACCCGAAGAGTCCTACGACTCAGCCTGGAGCTTAGGTCAAGCTGGGCTCTACCAGCTTCCAGGCGTGTCTCACCTTGTAGTGTTCAATCAGGATATCCCGGGCAGCATTAAAGATCTCAGGGTGCAGAGCATCTGCATACTGGGCCAGCGTGTAGTCATAGTCAAAGCCATAGACCTCAACATCACGCAGACTGATCTCATTGTTGGCGTAGATGGCTGCTGGGTTGAGGAGGCTGCAGACCTCAGGGGGCAGAAGATCTAGAGATAGGATAAACAGTATGAGGAGGAAGATGATCCTAGGAGTGGCTATCCTGGGCACTTTGTAGGGTACCTATTCGGGTAAGCCTCATGAAACAACCCAAGATAGACTCTTAGCCTGATGTTGTAGTGGATAAAACAGGCTCAGAGAGAAGGTACTTGCCAGGTAGCAATGGGCCAAGTGCATGGCTGGAGCTCCTCCTCTTCATGCAACCCAGCAGGTGTACCAAACCAGGCTCTCACCAAGCCCCATCAGACATTCAACTGTGGTGGAAGCCTGGCAACACCTGGGGCAGGCAGCTACTGCTGGCTGAATAGCTGCTCTTGAAACTATCTATAGTACAAATTCTGCCGCTTTCTCAAACTCTGTTCAGGAGCACCACTCTTGGTCCCTCCCTTGCTGCCCACTGGCCATATCTACCCCTCCTTAGAGGTATTTTTAAGGGTAGTACGAAGGGACTGGGGAATCTGTGAGTGGGTGCTGAGCACCACAGCCTTTCTACCCTGGCCAGAGCTAGAGCTAGGGCTCAAGA